TGTCAGGCCTTGAGAGCAAAGTAAAGAAAATATCAGACCAGCTTCTGCTGGGTCATGCATGTTTATTATGCCTATAAGCAAGCCTGGCTGAGCAGGAAGAAGGAGAAGCCACCTGCCTGCCTTACTTAGAGACCTTGCCTTCCCCAGGCCCTCTGGCAGTGTTCTCTTGTCACATTGGAGGGTGAATCTCCTCTCTTAGGCCAAAGAGTTCCAATTATATTTTAAAGTTCCAAAGAGATGGGCTTATTGCCTGTCAATTCTCCCATAAGCCTTCCTCTGAGAAAAGGGAGGGGGCTGCAAGACCTAGCCAAGATTGGAGGGGTCTTAATCAGCAGGGTCTCCCTCATGGATAGTTAAGCTTCTTAACCTACTGGGTCTCCCTCATGGATAACTCAGCAATCAGATTGACTAATAAGCTTTTTTCAAATTCAAAATACATCATTTTTTATTATTTTGTACTTGATAAAACATCAAACATAAATACTTCCATAAATAGAATTATACGTGATACCACAGATTTCTAACACACTTAACTTGCATTTTTAAATTCGACATGTTGGTTTCAAAACTATCTTGTTTGTCTATATCTCCTTCAGAATCTTCTATACTTTCAAAAAATCCTATAGTGACTCTCTTTTCTCCTTGCATCATACCCATCTTCCTTGCATATCTCTCCCCCATCAATTAAAAAAAAATCTCCTTTATGAGAAATAAATTTAGTTGGGCAAACCAAATCCAAATATCAGCCCAGCACCTCCTTCCCCACCTCACAGTCTGGCGGCAGAGAACATACATTGTCTTAGGACCAAGTGGTTGCTTGTTGTTTTGATCAGGATTTTTAAGTCTTTTATGGCTGTTTTTCTTAACATTGTTGTACTATTGTATAAACTATTCTCCTCATTCTGCTCATTTTGCTCTGAATCCATTGAATTTGTCTTTCCAGGTTTCTCTGAATGTATCTTTTCATTTCTCATTGCACAATGATATTCTGCTATATGCATGTAGTAGTTTAGTCAGCCATTCCTCAGTTGATAGGCACTCATTTAGTTCCAAATTCTTTGCTATAATAAAAGGTGCTGCTGTAAACCTAGGCTTCTTACATGGCTGGGTCTCCTTGAATAATTCAGCAATCATTTTGCCTTCCTAACCAGCAGGGTCTCCCTCTGGGATAACTCAGCAATCAGCTTGTCTGCTAAGCTTCTTATCCTAGCGTCCAATTTCCCAGGTCCAGGGCAGCTTGTTAACTATTGGCTGGCTCCATCTTCTGGCCCTCCTGTGACTGTTTTCTGGGACTTTCTCCTTCTTTAGATCACAATGTTTTAGGCTGTTCTTCATCCCAGAATGGATCTAAACTGCCCCAGTCATTCTTTCTGGGTCCCTAACCATCCCTGATTTCCTGAGCTCCTAGAGGCCAGGAAAGGCATCTTACTCACCCTTCTCTGCATTTAGCACAGTTTCTACTTTGCAGTTAGTTCATTGTATTACAGAATCAGAGAAATCAGACCTGGTTCTTGCTCAAGAGATCATTATGGACTTCCTTTTACAGATGAGGAAACTGAGGCCCATGGAGAGATTAAGAGACTGGTTTAGGGTTACACTATTCAACCCTGGCTCTGACTTTGATCTCAGGCTCTTTCTTTCTTTCTTTTTTCTTTTTCTTTATTTAGTCCTTTCTTTTCTTTTCTTTTCTTTTCTTTTCTTTTCTTTTCCTTTCTTTTCTTTTCTTTTTTAGGCAATTGGGTTTAAGTGACTTGCCCAGAGTCACACAGCTAGTAAGTGTCTGAGGTCAGATTTGAACTCAGGTCTTCCTGACTCCAGGGATGATGCACTATCTACTGCACCGTCTAGCTGGCTCTCAGGCTCTTTCCTCTGAGCATGTTTTATTTGGTTATTTCTTAGAATTAGACACATTTGTTATCTGAAATATGTAGACATTAACATTCTTGTGATTTTCTTTTTATTCTATTTGGGGGAAAATTGTTTGTTTGTTTTTCCCTAAACAAAACTAAAATGAGGTCTGAGTGGAAAATTCTGCCCCTGGGATGATCCTCTTATCATATGACCACAGACAAGGAACTTAGTTTTAAGATCTTGATTAAAGAATTATACATGGATTTCCAATAGATGACCAGAATATCTTGTTTTAGGATATATATTCCAATCCTCTGTTTGAAATGCACACAACAAGGGGCAGCTAGGTGGCACAGTGGATAGAGCACCGGCCCTGGAGTTAGGAGGACCTGAGTTCAAATCTAGCCTCAGACACATAACACTTACTAGCTGTGTGACCCTGGGCAAGTCACTGAACCCCATTGCCGAAAGAAAGAAAGAAAGAAAGAAAGAAAGAAAGAAAGAAAGAAAGAAAGAAAGAAAGAAAGAAAGAAAGAAAGAAAGAAAGAAAGACGAAATGCACACAACAAAGGTGGGTTGGTGAGTTGTATTGCTAGAACATTCAAGTGGATGAGATCACAGAGCCATTTGAGTATCTAAGTATTTGAACCAGAGTATCCAGAAATTCAAGATTTATTTACAAATTGGCAAGAGTGCCCCAAGAGAAAAATTAGTGTGGCAGAGCAGCGTGGAAAAGGATATAAAGGATAATGCCAGGTTTCAGCTTTAAATCTGACTACAGTTAGAAGAGAAGTTCCATTTGGGGTGGGGGTGGGGGTCAAGATTGGCCAGGTATTTCTTAATTTTACCAATATTTCTACTGTAACCTCAGGAATCACAGCCATATCCCATCAGTATATGCTAACCGAGGGAAGAAATGTCCTGGGTTCAAGTGAAAATACGAGCATTATAGGACATCTGGTGACCGTATCAACTGTTCTTCCTCTCTGTGATTTTGGAGTGTAGCCAAGATGGCTGGCTGCGTGACAGCTGCTGCTGCCCTTCCTCCTCCGTCTTAACTCTGCCGAAGAAGGGCCAGAAGTTAAGAAGACCTCAAAGGACCACGCGGCACCAAATGACACGTTGCCTTTGCACATACTAGAGATAGCAGTATGGAAATGTTTATTTCATAGTAAAAATATGTATCTACAAGCAATCATTTGTATTTTTTAAAAAACATACAGATAGGAGAAATTATTATAAAATTATTAAAAATCATTTTAAAGTTCAGTTGATTCAGTCAACATGTCTGATCCTTCTATTAAGTCTATGTTGGCTCATAGGATTCCTTGAGTTGGAAGGGACCTCAGAAGCCATCTAGTCCAAATTCTGCATTTTACAAGTGAGGAAACTGAGGCTGAGAAAGGTTAACTGACTGGCCTATGTCACACAGGTAATAAGTGTGAGAAATGGAATGTGAACCTATGTCTTCTGGCTTGAATTAGCACTCTTTCTTTTATAAAAATTTCTGAGTATGCCCAACAGCGAATACAACGAGCCTTTCTATATATAGTATAGAAGAGAAAGAGATAAATCAGAACACTGAATCTCTGTTTGTCGAGCTGGCTTTTCCATATAAGTATATGATGAGTTCCATGTATCACTTCCAATGCTGGCCTTAGAGCAAGAACAAATTCTTCAAGTCTAATTGGCTTCATTTTATGGAAGAGGGCGCAGAGACCTGACAGCAAAGGGGCTTAGGATCACAAGACATAGAGGCATAAGGGACCCTAGAGATGACTTAATCCAACCCCTTTCATTTCACAGATGAGGAGACTGAGGTCAAAAAAGCACAAATGCCCCCTATGATCATGCAGTTCTTAAGTGTCAGAGCCTGGATTTGAACCCAGCTCTTTTGACCCCAAGTCCAATGCATGACCTTAAAGATTCTTGTACCAGTCTAGCTAGGGAGAAAAGAGCTTGGAAGGTTGCAGGCATAAAGACTGCAAACCCAGTGTGAGTGTACAGTCTTCATACAGCAACAACAAAAAAGGTCCTGTTGACTTGAGATGCAGTAAGAGGGACCTAATGTTCAAAAAAATGGAAGTGTTGGTTCCACTCTTGGCTTCAGGTCCACTCAGAACTGAGGATCCACAATTTAGGAAGGACATTGGTAGATGGAGGGTGTCCAGAGAAGGGCAGCCAGAATGGGGAAGGGCATTCAGACCGAGCCATATTCGGATCAGTTGAAGGAAAGGGGAATGTTTAACCTAGAGAAGAGAAGCCTCAAGGAGGGCAGGATAGGCATCTTCAAGAATTTGAAGGGCCTTTCATGGAGGAAGGAGTCCCCTCATTTGGTTTAACTACAGAGGAAAGAACAGAGGGCAGTGAGTGGTAGGGAAACTTCCAAAAGGTGCATTTGGGCTTGATGAAGGGAAAAATTCCCAACAGTTGGAGCTCCCAGAAGTGGGATGGGCTGCCTTGTGGTCTCTAGGGTCACTACTCACCGAAGGTCTTCCAGCAAAGTCTAGAGGACCGCTTGTCCAGTACATTGTTTCAGGGATTCCTGCTCCAATATGGATTAAGCAAGATGGATTCTGAGGTCTTTTACTGTGCCTGGGAAGTAGGAGCTAGCCAGGGTGCTGAAGTTTTCTCAACTTTCTCCTGCTTTCGTCTTCACTCTGCTTCAGGGACATGTAGGGGTGTGGGTACAAACATAAGCAGAAATTAGATTTTTCTCCCCCTCACACCATGTGAAAGTTGGCACCAGTCATATTTGACTTTTCTTCGTCCTGATGCCTCTCAGGGGCCTCGGATGAGACTCTGCTCTTGCCTGAGCATGAGAGAACCAAGTTTGGATATCATGGCCTTCAGATTCTCCCCTGGCTCAGCAGTGGGAAGTGTTAACATGGCCTCGTGTCTGTTTCCATGCCCCTCCTGTCTGACTCTGAGTCCTTGCCAACTTTGATGATGGTCCCCAAATTCAGTATGGCAAGCAGGGTGCAATGGAGGGAAGACTGGATTTGGCATTAGGGCCCTGGATTTGAATCCCACACCTGCCACTTGCTGCCACGTTCTGTGGGACTCAGACTAGGGACTCTAAGGTGATCCTCCCCAGCTGCACACCTGTGACCCCATGAACGCTTATATTCCTTGCTTGTTCTGCTTAGGTCCTGAAGCCCTTTCTTGCGACGGGACTGTGCTCACGCATCCTCCCCAGTTCTTATGCACATCCATGGCACGATGAGCAGCCCTCAGGAGCAGCTGAGCTGGTCTTCCTCTCCCACTTTGACCTTGAGTGAGAACAGAGCCTTTGGCGGGCTTCATGACGAGCGCACGTCCCCCAGGAGCCACCCTTCCCCCAAGCTCTTTGAGGAGGTGGGAGAGAAGGGGGTGCTGCAGGCCGAGCTAACAGAGGGCCTGAGCAGCCCTGTCGCTACGACAGCACTGACCAGTGTCAGCGAGGACTCAAGGGACCAGTTTGAGAACAGTGTTTTGCAGCTCAGGGAACAAGAGGAATCTGAGACAGCCACTTCTCAGGGCAACGGTCACGCTGGCGACGGAGAGAACACTAGCGGCACAGAGGACGTGAAGATCCAATTCAGCCGATCAGGCAGCGGGAGTGGTGGCTTCCTCGAAGGCCTTTTTGGCTGCCTGAGGCCTGTCTGGAACATCATAGGCAAGGCCTACTCCACCGACTACAAGCTCCAGCAGCAAGGTATGTGCAGGGACGGGGGGGGAGGGTGGGCAGCCTTCTTCCTTCCTTCCCATTGGGATCACAGAGCCAGAGCTGGAAGGGGCCTCAGAGGCAGCCCTCTCATTTTACAGAGGGGGAAACTGAGGCCCAGAGAGGGGCCTGGTCAGTGCCAGAGGCCAAGCCCAACCTCACATTTTACAAATGAAGAAACCAGGCCCAGAGAGATTAAGCAACTTTCCTGAGGTCACACAGCAGCGAAAGGGCAGAACCAGGATTTCAGCCCAAGGCCACTGAGTCCAAACCCATCCCTCTTGCTGCTGCTATTGCCATGACCTTCTGGAGGTCATGTCACTTTTGATCTTTGGGAAAACCAAAGGACTGAGGGCATATGCATGAGGTGTGCTTTGGTTCTGCCGTTTCTGTCTGTGTAACCTGGGACAGGGGACTGGACCCCTCTGCCCTCATCTGTAAAATGTTGATGGCTCCAAGGTCCCCTTCAGGCAGAGAGCTTCCTGTGAATGACTGAGTTAACACATGTACCTCTTTGTAGGGACAAGCCTACCTCCAGATTTTCTGGGGCAGTGTTGAGTCTAAGAAAAGAAGGTTTATTTTTAAAACACTATCCTTTGTCAGAAAACATGCCAACTTTTGGTTCAGATAATATGTTTACTTTGCCTATTAGACCAAGTGGATGTCTCTAAGGATATTCTGGGCTCCACAAAGAAAACATAAAATACTCATAAAATGCTTTAGCTAAGTTGGGTTCAACTAGCTTCATAAGGTTGTCCCTTCAAAGTGACAACCTTCAGTGTCTCCTCAAACTTTGAAGATCTGTGATTTGATAATTGATTAGTCTTTCATCTGAGAGACAGACTTGTCTATTCAATTCAATGAGGATTTATTAAGTCCCTATTAAGTACTGGGCTAGGTGCTAGGTGCTGGGCATATAACACAAGAATGAAGCTGTCTCTGCCTTCAAGGGGCTAACATCCTACTGGGGATGTGCAATGTGTGTACAGATAGATAGGTAGATAGATAGATAGAGGAAGTGACAGATAGATAGACAGACAGACAGACAGACAGACAGACAGACAGACAGACAGACAGATAGATAGATAGATAGATAGATAGATAGATAGATAGATAGATAGATAGATGGGTGGATGGATAGATAGAGAAGTGATAGATAGAGGAAGTGACAGACAGACAGACAGACAGACAGATAGATAGATAGATAGATAGATGAAGTGATAGATGACAGATAGATAGAGGAAGTGATAAGATAGAGGAAGTGATAGATGATAGATAGATAGATAGATAGATAGACAGACAGACAACAGACAGACAGACAGACAGACAGACAGACAGACAGATAGTAGATAGATAGATAGATAGATAGATAGATAGATAGAGGAAGATAGAGGAAGTGATAGATGATAGATAGATGGATAGATAGATAGATAGATAGATAGATAGATAGATAGATAGATAGATATGGATATACATATATTTTGTTGCTGTTGCAGACCTGTGATTTCATCAGTGTAGGAAGCTCAGAGGACCATGGATCCAGAGCTGGAAGGGACCTCAGAGACTCTGGAATCCAGTCCCCCTATTTTGCAGATGAGGAAATTGAAGCTCATAGAGGTCACATGGCAACGAGTACTTGAGGCAGAATTTGAACCCAGGTCTTACTGACTCCTGGACTCCAGCTCTCACGTCCTGCTGCTTCCCACAAATAACTTTTTTTTTTAACCTGGATCCATGATTTAATGGGTACAGAGAGCTTGGCACGAGGGAATTTCAGGAAAGAGAGAATCCTGCCAAGGGGGCAGGAATCAAGCCCACGTCCTCTCGACTCCACCAAGGCTTCAGAACCTTGTTCGTGGGTGTCCTGGACCCCTTGGGCAGCCTCTAGTGAAGCCGCAGGACACCCCTACCCCCCACCCCAGCACCTTCTCAGAATTGTGTTTTTAGATAAGTGAAGGAAATGTGCAATTTCAGTGAGAGAGCAGTGAAAATCAGGATCGAATTTTTTCCCATCCAAGTTCACAGACTCCCTGCAATCCCTCCCCAGACCAGGTTCACTCTGCTGAGCTCCCTCCCTGCTGGCTCTCTAGGGGACCCCTGCCCCACCCTCCTGCCCCTCCTTGGGCCTTTTTGGGACCCCCTGCCAGGCAGGGGGGCAGCTGGCGGTGGCGAGGAATTCCACAGAGGTTTCCCAGTCAGGGCCCTCCCCCATCACTGCTTCTCTCCAAGTTGGGAGGACCCAGGTTTTAAACACTTCCTCCTCCTCTTTTCTTCCTACATAAACACGAAGTCTTTTTCGTCATTTTTGACTCACTCAGTGTTTGCTTGGCCAAGTTCAGTGTATTTGGTTTATAAAGTTTTCACTGGAGCTACCAGAACCTAGAACACTCTTGGATGGCCCTGGCATCTCCCCCTGAGGGTGTTCCCTTCCATAATGCAGGTTGTGACCTATGCCTGCCCACCTCTTGTCCGCATCCTTCTCTGTGTTTGCCAGAGGGATAGAGAGATCCACCCACAGTGCAGTCCTTGCTTTCTCTCGGCCTGTGAGAATAGCTGGGGAAAACCCGGCTTGTCCATCAGTGAGCCTTTCTCTTATCATGTGACCCATGAATCCCCTTTTATTTCTCAATCCTGTATTTCTTTCACTTCCAAAGCCGGCCCTGCAGAGTTCTTTGTTTATAATGGGCGGCTGCCTGCCCATGCCCTCCATGTTCCTCTCAATTGCCCAGTAATCATAATGATTGTTAGCATTTATGTAGCACCTACTATGTGTCAGGTGTTATACTAAACACTCTACAAATGTTATCTCGCTTTATTAATCCTCACAACAACCCTGCAAAATTGGTGCTGTGATTATCCCTACTTTACAGTTGAGGAGACTGAAGCAAACCAAGGTTCAGTGACTTGCCCAGGGTCTCTTAGCCAGCAAGTGTCTGAGACTGGATTTGAACTCAGGTCTTCCTGCTTCCTGATGTTCTATCCACTGCACCAGCTAATGTTCTGTGACCCACAGCCAACCAACACATGAAGACCGTCTGACCCAAGCCCCTCACTTGTCAGAGAGACGGAGGTGAGTTGGCCAATGTCGCACAGGCAAGGAGCCAGGATTAGAACTTGCATCCTCTCGCTCCTCATCCCCGTCCTTCCCCACCACAGAGATGCCCCTGAAGCCACAGCAAGTCTTCATTCCTTTCACTGGCGTCTCCCCTTTCTGGTACTCCTTAAGCGCCCCCTCATTAGAGGGGCAGGGGCCGGCGTGTCTTCCTGTTGTCCTGGTACTTCCCTCTCCCGGGCTGCTCGGCTGCCCCGCCCACACAAGAACTCTCACTTGAAGGCTGGGAGATTGTTTAACAAAGGTCCTTTCCCATGGTCTTCCACGATTAGGGATGTGACTTGTTTTTTATTTAAATCTTGTCCCATCCTGGCTGGGCAACTGGACAAATGCCTTCGCCTCTCCGTGTTCCAGACAGTCAGTGGAGAGAGCTCTCTCACATGAGAACTCCCCAAACCAAAGACATTCTAGATCCCAGCCCCTAGGCCTAGCCAGCTCCTAACCTAAATTTAGAAACCTCAACAAAAGCAAAGATGAAGATATACAAACAGCAAGAAAAGTCAGGGGAACTGGAAACTGTGCACTTCTGTTATTGATTTCTTTTTTTAAAAAAAAGTAAGTTTTGTACAATGTTGACTTTAGAAGGGGCTCAATGGGGACTGTTGGGGAGAGCTGAAAGTGGGACTGGTTCTATAGTGCACACACCATGAATTGTACCACTCTGGATCAGAAGAAATACAAGCTCATTCTTTATTTACTTATTTATTTATTCATTCATTTATTTGTTTGTTCGTTCGTTCTTTCGTTCATTCATTCATTCATTCATTCATTCATTCATTCATGGCAAATGCTATAAGTGACTTGGCCAGGGTCACACGGCTAGTAAGCGTCAAATGTTTGGTCTGAGGCTGGATTTGAACTCACTCATGTCTTCCTGACCTCAGGGTCGGTGCTCTACCAATTGCGCCACCTGACTGCCCCCAAGCTCATTCTTTAAAAAAAAAAAAAGTACATGTGAATCCAGGAGGTAAATGGCTAATAGTTAGAAACAGGCATTTTCCAAAGGAAGAAATGCAAACTGTGAACAGTCATATAGAATTTTGCTTCAAATCACCTATCCCAATCGAAATCAAATCAGAACAACTCCGAGGTTTCGGCTCATACCCATCAGATTAGCCAAGGTGACAAAAGACAGAATTGGAATACGCTGGAGAGGCTGACAGAAGACAAGACAAGCGCATTAACTAGTTGTTAATGGAGTTGTGAAATGGTGCTCTAGAAAATCCTAAGTAAATGGCCTTGAAGAGTCACTAAATGGCACATAGCCTTTGACCCAATGATGCCTCTCCTGGGCTCACAGCCCAAGAAGCTCAAAGACACAGGGAAAGATCTCATGTCCCATGTCGGGATCTCATGGATCACAGGGATCCCTGAGGCTGGCCAGCTAGTACAACTTCCTCATTTCCCAATGTCTCAGGACCGGCCCAAGGTCACCCAGGTTGTAAGCACTGAGGTTGTGCTTTAGGAAAATCACCTGAAGGAAATGGGGAGCTTTAACCTGGAGCATGGCTGCACCAGCGGTGTGCAGTCCAAACAGAATTAGAGGCCCCTAAGCCGTACACAGGGATCTCAGGGGCACACGTGTTGTCTTAGTTTTACAATGTATTATTATCTATGTTTTATTGTATTTTTGTTCATTTTGTTAGATATCTCCCAGTTGCATTTTAATCTGGTTTGGGCCACAGTTTTGGGAGTGTTGTGGGCCGCGTCCTTCCACCCCCAGCACATGTTTGGCACCTCTAGAGCTGTCTTCTAGTATCTGAAGGCCTAAGGCATAGAAGGAACATTGGCTTTGTTCTCTGCCAGCCTCTGAGAGCAAGGTGGAGAGAGGCCACTTAGGCTCAGGAAAACGTTCTTAACTAGTAGTGCTGTCCACATCGAAGCTGTGGACAGTCGTTTTTATAATGTGGTTGTTTTATAAAATAAAATCACATAAAATCACCTAAAATACAAAATGGAGGTTGTTACTGCCACCTGCGTGGCCTCATCCAAGTGGAAGCCTCTCACTGGGCCATCTCCTCAGCAAAAGGAGGCCATTGGATGAGATTCAGTTCAGTGAGATGGTAAACATTGAAATGCTTTGTTTGCACAGCGCCTTCCCTTCTCCCCACAAAAACATAGCATCTTCCCTTAGAAAAAAGTCAGCAAAACTGCCTCCTTGAGTGATTCCACCCAGCATGCCTGTCACTCTCCATTTTTGTCCTTCACGGTTTATTAACAGAAAGGACAGACTTGGGCTTTCCCTCAGTCCTTGGAACTAAAATTGGCCCTTGTGCTGGGCCTCAGTTTTATTGACTTTTAGACCCATTTTCCTTTACCTTCTTACAGTTTGTACGCTGAGCTTTGTCATCAGATGCAGATCTCCCCACGTGGCTCTGAATTGCTCATGTTCGTTGTTCCGTATAGTGCAGAAACATCCCATTCCCTAATCACTGGGCGCAATTTATTTTCAGATTTTGGCTATGACAAATAGTGCTGGAATCTAATTATACATGCGCACACGACACATGTCTACATGCATGTATGCATATATACCCAGATGTGTGCATTGTGTGTACATATGCACACGTGTGTGCACACCCATACATATATGTATATGTGCACACACCGACAGACAGACACATGTGTGCACATTATGGCCTCTTTCTTTCTGACATTGATTTCTTGGCTACAAACCTAGTAGTGAGATAGATTTAGCACAAATAGATGAGTTGCTTTTCTTACATTGTTACAAAGAGTTTTCCAGAACAGCTGGACCAATCCTCTAGAGTGAATGAATGTGCCTGTCTGTTCACAGCCCCTCCAGCACTGGCTTTTTCCAATTTGCACCATTTTTGCCAGTCTGATTTAGTGGTCTTTAAATTTGCCTTTCTCTGACAATTGGGACTCTTAAACACTTTGTTCAGGTGGTTGGAAGTTTTCCTTTGACAACTGTTCTTATCCTTTGGCCAGATAAACAACCTGAATTTATTAAAGGCCTCCCTTGTGTTCAGTGGTAGGTCTACAAAGACAAAAAATGAAGCCATCCCTGCCCTCATGGAATTTCTTGTCTACCAAGGGGGCACAACATGCACACAGACACATATTATACCAGAAAGGGAGTGACCACCAGATAATGTGCTTTTGGAATATTTGAGGAGGAACAGAAGTCTTCATCTGGGGGAATTGGGGAAGGCTTCTCAGAGGAGGTGATCCCTGGACTAAGCCTTAAAGGAAGAAAAGAATTCTGGGGCGGGGAGGTGATGGTATTTTGGAGTGCATTTCTGTCATGGGAGGACAATCTAAGCCAGAGATGTCCAACATGATGCCTCCCCTAGACTCCCTTGGGCCACCCAAACCAAATTAAAATGTAATTGGGAAAAATTTAACAAAATAAACAGAAATACAGTAAAATGTAAATAATATTACATTTTAAAACTGTCAGTGTGCGGCAGCTGGCGTCCTTAGGTACAGTTTAGTAGGTTTCATTTCTAGTTGAGTTCGACACCCCTGGTCTAGGAGATGGCGTGTTGAGATCAGAAAACAGCATGGAAACCAGTCTGGCTAGAACATAGAGTTTGTGAAGGAGAATACGGCGAGATGGGGCTGCAGAGATGGCATGGAGTCCATTGTGGAAGGCCTTATTTGCCAGGCTCTGGAGGCACCAGGAAACCGCTGAGAGTTTTCTCAAATAGTCTATGATTCATTCTCATTTCTGAATAAACATTTAACTCTGCAGGGCAGTAGGAACCATGTAAAACTCCACCACTGATGTTTGGGGGTGAGCTCGGTAGCCAGGGAGATGAGACAGAGGAGGCATGCAGGCTGGGGACTGGGACCACTGAGGGCAGGCGAGTCTGCACATGAGTCACATGGGAAGAAGCCACAAAGAGGTCCAGGCCGCTCTAGAGCTACGGAAGCCCAGTCCTCTACTTTCAGAGGGGGTTTTCTCCAAGGCCAAAAGGGCCAAACCTTCCTGCTTTGCCCTAGATCCTTCCAGCTGCCTCTTGCCATGTTTGTGATCCTCGGCACTGCTTCTAAAGCGTGTCCAGGGAAAATCAATCATGATTTCACTTAATATTTCTGGGGTTTGGGGCAGCGCTAGTGAAGAGCTTGGTGAGCAGGAGGTAAAAGTGATTAGTTAAATTTGGTTTAAAAAAAATCTGTGTATCCTCCCTTATTGCCAACCCTCCCTGAGTGACGTGGTGGACAAATGGGTCTGATGAACAAAGGACACTGATCTCTCTGTCCAACCACCTCCCCATTGCTCTGGGTTTCAATATTGGTTCTAGTTCTGAGAGATATGAAGCAGCCTACACAGCAGAGCCAGCCCTGCTCAAGCCTTTGCACGTCGCCCCTGAGCGGCCAGCTGAAGAGAGGGTCTGGGGAGTTTCACCCTCGGGTAGACCAAGGGAGCCAGAGAAATCTTTATAAACACAACAGTACAGGGTAAGCAGGCCGGGGTCACTGTTGAATAAACCAGTCAAAATGAGCATAAACTGAGGGATTGGTAAAATTCCTTTGTTTTGAAGGTGAGTGTGAAGGATTCCTAGTCATTCCAGCTATTGGAACCTACAGATCCCCCTCCTCCCTCTCTGAGAGGGATCTAGCCTAAGCTGGTGGCATTTCCAAACATCATCAAGAATTCCCTGTGTAAGTGTGGGGTTAGTTGGGTGAGAACCTTGGGAGAACCACTCAGGTGATATCTTTAGGGTTCAGTGTCTTCCTCATAAAGTGAGACAGTCTGACTAGACGTCCTCTGAGGTGCTCCCTTCTCACTCCAGACCTGTGACATCAGGGAACGGCAGGTCTCCGGCAAATGCCCACATCTCCCTGCTCATCCTTCACCCCCTGCTCCCCCTTCACAACTGCAATGAACAGTGAGTCGGTTTCCTTTCAGGGATAAAACTGTACCTTCCCAGCTCACTGGATGGAGGAGTTTTACCTTGAAGGAAAGAGAACAGTAATGACTGGAAACCACTGGAGACAGTGCAGTCTTCAGACTCCAGATGCTTTTGCCCAGGCACCACCATCTGTCGGCACTTTCTCCTTCTTCAGATTGTCATGTATTGATTTATCTGCCCGCAGGGTGTATGCCCCAGGAGAACACAAGTTCCTTGAGGCCAAAACCTTTCTTTTTTTCATTTTTGTCTTTGTATTCCCAGAATAAATAGGCACGGTGCCTCTTTTCTATTCTTTGGATGGCTCTCCGGGAAAGGGAGAAGTGGGGGTAGAATACATCGGGCAATGTCGTTGATGTGAAAACGAAAGATATCAAAATTCATTTTAAAAAAGAAGCGTTTGGGCCAGACGACTTCTGGCCCCGTCCGGCTCTAAATCAGTGATCCTCCGGCGACTTAGTCTGTTTTCTGTAATCATGTATTGACCCCAAAGCAGAAGCCAAGCGTCAGAGTTGCGTTTCTCTCGCCATGACCAGAGGACAGCCCGCCCCGAGCAGGCTGGGCCGCCGGGACACAGATCCCTTCATGCCTGTCTCTCCCCTGTGCCCAGATACCTGGGAGGTGCCCTTCGAGGAGATCTCGGAGCTGCAGTGGCTGGGCAGCGGGGCCCAAGGCGCCGTCTTCTTGGGTAAGTTCCGAGCCGAGGAGGTGGCCATTAAGAAGGTGCGGGAGCAGAATGAGACGGACATCAAGCACCTGCGAAAGCTGAAGCACCCCAACATCATCGCCTTCAAGTAAGTGGGCGCCGGGCCTGTGCCCAGGAGTGCCCCCATCCCCGGGGAGGGGGAAGAGGCGGCGGTCTTTCCAGCGGGAGGCCGGCCGAGGTGGGCTCCCGCTGTTCAGTCAGTGTTTCCTGGGTGGGGGCCGAGGATGGGCGGCTAGGGGGCGCCACAGTGCACAAAGCACAGGAAGCCTTGAATTCAAATCCAGCCTCAGACATTTACTTAGCTGCAAGGCCCTGGGCAGGTCACTTAGTTTTTGCTTGCCTCAGTTTTCTCATATGTAAAAAATGAGCCTAATAATAGCACCTCCCTGCCAGGGTTTTTGTGGGGATCCAGTGGGGTAGTAATTGTCACATAGTAAGCACTGTATACGGGAGTTATTATTGTTAGTGATTCTCCTTACGTGGAGGAGGCCAGCCACTACGTACAACCGAGTCTGGACCTCCAGGAGCGCGCGGTTCAGTTAGGAGACAGGACCGATACCCTGGACGTGTGCTGCGGCTCGCTCGGTGTGACAGTGAATGCGCGGGGAGTGATGTGCTGGGGGGAGGGGGGAAGCAGCTGCAGCGCTTGTCCCCATTTCGCAGATGAGGAGGTGGCCCATGGAGGCGAAGGGTCTAGCACAGGGTCGGCCAGCCCCTCCACTCCCCCAGCGCATCCCAGGGTGCTGCTCACAGCTTCGTCCACTTCTGGGCCTTCTCCAGCTTCAGTCTTTCCTTGTTCCCTAGTGTTCCCCCTCCTCCCTGGGTGGATCTCTTGAATCCCTTTGGGGTGGGCTGGAGGGGGAGGGTGCCTCCTCATCTCACAGGCGTCTTCACCGAGAAGGGCCACGTGATTCCAACCAGCCAGCCCGCATTGGACAATGAAGAAGCCTCATTGGGGAATGGGTTGTGGGCCATGCTTACAGAGGAATTGGAGACGGGCCCATCCTCATTACCTCCTCCTTATACACCGCGAGCTTTGTCCTTTTCTATAAGGTAGTGTATCTGGAGGCGGTGAGTGGTGGAAGAGCTGAGTTCAAATGCGGTTGCAGACACTCACTAGCCGTGTGACCCTGGGCAAGTCATTTAACCCCAATTGCCTAAAAAGAAAAAAAAACCCAAAACTATAGGCCGGAGAGCACAGCCTCAGCTCCTGCCAAAGTTCTCCCATGTATTCGTCCGGAGTTGCCCACTTCGGGCCCTTTTTCTAAAAAGGTCTGTCGTCCTCCCTGTGGCAGCACGGTGCCATGGAGAAAACACTGGTCCTGGAGCCCAAGGATCTGGGTTCGAATCCCAGCGCTGCTCCTTACATCCTGGTTGATGTCCTGTTCACAGTCTGTTTCTTAATAAAAGGGCCAGATCACCACGCAGTTATCGTCCTGGTTCTGGAGGGAGCTCCCTGTGCTGCCACACGTCACTCTGCCGGCAGGGGCCATTTCCTCCTCACCACAGTCATTTGGAGGGGCGTTGGTGGTGCTTCTAGCTGGAGGTTCACCCCCCTCCTCTGAGCTGACCTCTGAGGGTTTGAACTCGGGATTCTGCCTCTTGTCCACCCTTCTTTTCATCTTCCTCACCTGTGAAAGTGCAGGGGAGGTTAGGGCAGATGACCTGGAAGGTCCCAGCTAGCGCTAACAGCCTTTGAGTCTTTGAAGGGTGGGCACAGAGCTCACCCAGAATGCTCATGCAGCACCCACTGGGGCAAAGCTACAGAGAACATGGAGCTGAAGATCCCACGTCTGTTAATTCTCTCTCTTCTTTCCTTTGTTTTGGCGAGGAATTTGGGGTTAAGTGACTTGCCCAGGGTCACATGGTTAGTAAATGTCAGGCGTCTGAGGCCAGATTTGAACTCAGGTCCTCCTGACACCAGGGCCGATGCTCTGTCCACTGCACCACCTAGCTGTGCCCTATTAATTCTCAGGGAACGTAAGACCTAAGGAGGGGCAGAAAGCATCTTCAGGCTCATTCACTCTTCCCACCGATCCTGGAGAACAGGCATTATTTGTCCTATTTTATAGGGGAGATAATAATGTTCATGTGGGAATTGTGCAGTTTTTCAATCGTGCCCAACTCTTTGTGACGCCATTTGGAGTTTTCCTGGCAAAGATACTGGAGTGGTTTGCCATTTCCTTCTCCAGCTCATTTGACAGATGAGGAAACTGAGGCCAGCAGAGTGAAGTGACTTGTCTGAGGACAGATTTGAACTCTTGAAGATGAGTCTTCCTGACTCCAAGCCCAGCATTCTATGCACTCTGGCGCCACCTAGTGGCCCTATTGTTCAATCACAGAGAAGCTAACAGTGCCTCAGTGCTACAAATAATTAGTAATTTGCTACGGCCGTGGCAGATCACGTTCATGTTTTATCTCCACCTCCTGGATTCCCCGGCTGCTTCCTTCAGGTCTCAGCTAAAACCCCACCTTCTATGAGAAGCCTTTCCCAACCCCCTTCATGCCTTCCCTCTGCTGGTGATCTCCAATTTATCCCATCCATGGCCTTGTTTCTACCTAGTGGTTTTCCTGGCCTCTCCCGCCTCCGCCTGTGGACTTGAGGGCAGCCACTGTCCTTTGCCTCTGAGGTGAAGGCGAGGACGGAGGACGCCCGGGACGGGGTCCACAGCCAGGACCAGGGGTGGTTTTTAGTGAGCACCGCTGAGCGTGGACTTGGGGGGAGATGCCCCGCCCAAGGCGAGGCCTCTCCTGACCCCCTCCCTGCCGGCTGCTGCTGTCCCCCTCCCGAGTGGCTCTGGGACCACCGGTCTGTCCCTCCCCAGAGAAGCGCTGCACCCCCTCGGCAGGGCTGCAGAAAGCCCTGGGCTTGCCTCATCTGCATTTATTCGGGTGTGTGTACACACACAACACACACACACACACACACACACACACACACACACACACGAAAGTTGAAAGCAGACTGCTTCCATTTTGTCTTGGCATACTCAGTGCCCAGCCTGGCACAGAGTAGGTGCTTAATCAAGAATACGGATTGATTAATTGATTGACTTAAGGTCTTAAGAGCAAGCGGTCCTTGGGGCTCCAACGCATGTAGTAGGACGCCGGGCACTCAGCAGGCGCTTGATAGATTCTCCTTGCTCATTACTAGTGCTAATAATAATGTGTTTCAGAGACTCCCCCACCACTTGAAAGTGACCCTGTATTAACATCGCTGGGGCTTTCTTTTTTCTTGGAAGGGGCGTTTGTACCCAGGCTCCGTGTTACTGCATCATCATGGAGTACTGCGCCCACGGGCAGCTCTATGAGGTCCTGCGAGCGGGGAGAAAGATCACTCCCCGGCTGCTGGTGGACTGGTCTACGGGGATCGCCAGCGGCATGAATTACCTCCACCTCCATAAGATCATCCATCGGGACCTGAAATCACCCAAGTAAGTGGAGCCGGAAGGGAAGGAGGGAGGGAAGAGGGGGAACACGGTGGCAGGTGGGGGTGGGGAGCAGGGGGAGCAGGGAGGACGCCCTGGGACGTTCCCTTGTTTGAACCTGGGGCGTCCTCTTGTCCACCTCCCTCCTTGAGTGGAAGACAGAGGCCTGCCTGGAAGCCGAGGGCCTCAGCCTCCCGACCCAGCATTCTTTCCATGTCGAGTGTTTGACTGGCTCTGGCTCAAATGGAGAGGATGAGTCCTCCCCTGGCAGGGCCCCCGTCGGCCAGGTCCCACGAGAACGTTCTCCACAGTCTTTGTTTCTCACTTCCCCTACGTGGCTGCACTGTGGGCTTCTCCTACTCCAATGGGCAGATCCTGTGGCCTTGGGGAGACAGTGGGTGCACTCGAAGTGGGGTCAGATGAGCTGGCCTCAAACCCGTGCTTGGTCGCTGCTATCCTTGGGCCCCTGAGCGATTCACTTCTAAGTGTTGGAGGCAGGATTTGAATTCACAACTTCCTTCCTCGAGGTTCAGCACTCTCTTCACTGCATCCCCTAGTCCCTACTGTATTAATGATACAGAGGAACATTTGTAGAATGACAGGGTCGGATGAGATGATGTCTAAGGTCCCTTTAGACAGACCAATTATCCTGCATCTCATTGATGAATGAATAAAAAGGTCTACTCTGTGCCAAGCAGTAGGGATCAAATACGAAAGGGAAGTCTGTCCCTGGCCTCAGGGAGCTTACATTCTAACAGAAGATGATAATACCTATAGGAGGGTTGTGGCCAGAGGAATATTTTGGTTTGGAAAGGTACAGAGATGGGGAGTGGAGCTATAGGGGAGCAGATTACCACACCCTTTCTAGTAGCAGTGACAGTATTGATGTGATTATGGGTCCAGAACTGGAAAGGGGCATGGGGTTGGGGTTAGGTACATGCATAGCAACTAGGGGGCTGGGAAGATGGTGGGGGGAGGGTAAACTGATGCATATCTGGGGCCAGCCTGGATGTGAGCCCTGTGAGGCCCTCATTACTCAGGACAGCAGGACCCCAGGGCCCTAGGACAGATCACTGACTTAGAGCAAAAATCAAAAGTAACCTCAAAGTGGGAGAAAGGATTAAGATGAGAAAACAGCCCTGCATGCAGTTACTACAGCTCCAATCCAACCTTTTTAAATAAGCCTTGGACTGAAGAAATGAGAAATGGATTAAAGTAAAAACAATTCCATGAAAAATGCTTAACCAATGTAAAGCAATTGTCACAGCAAGGAGGCCCAAAGAACCCAGAAAAGGCTTTAGCCCCAAACCCTTGATCTCTTTGCCAAGAGAGACATGGCGGCCAAAGGCAAGGCTGGTTTAAGACACAAGCTCCTTTGGAAAAGAAGATGGAGAACGGTGGTGGAAGATCATCACCAATGTTGTTCAGTGACAAATAGCTGCAGAGGGAAAGTCACCCTGGGGAAAGCTGGGAAGGACACCCAACCAAGCCGGTTCATCCCGACATCATGGACAGATGCTGGCGTTATTCCTAGCCTTTGATGGGAGGCCAATGGGCCTCCCATTTGGAATCTCACCTCAGTGGGTTATAATGAGGCCGTGAGATTCGCCCTCCAGAAAACATAATGGGAGGAAGATAGACTGGACCAGATGGCGTCTACACAGACGGCATCTACACAGACAGGGTCTACACAGAATGAACCCGAACTAGAGGAAACACGGCTTGAACAGCCCTTGGGGATCTGCTTTCCCAAGCTGACCAGGAGGTTTCTTTTAATGGGAAGTCACTTAGCGTGTAGCTATAAGAATGTGAGGTGAAGACATCGGTGTAGCATCTTTCTCCCCAGGTGTAGGTAGGACCACCTCTCACATGGGACCACTCCAGGTGCTTTCCAGCTTGTTTTTCCACTTTGAATCTCTTCCCTTTCCATCCAGCTTCCAGACAGCTGCCAGAAGAGTCTAACACCACGGTTCTTCTCATGTCACTCACCTGCTCAGACTTCTGCCTGTTCACACACATACACAAACACACACACACACACACACACACACACACACATTCTCTCATGAACTCACACATTCACATACACTCTTACACTCACAACACTCTCACACACTCACACACACATTCACACACACATTCTCACACATACACTTCCACACTCTCATGTTCACAAGTCACACCCAGTTTTCTCACTCACTCTCTCATACACTCACACACGCTCTTACACACATTCCCACACACTCTCGTACACACTCTCACAGTTTTTCTCACACACACTCACAATACACACCTCCTCCAGGAAGCCAGCCCTGACACTCACAGTCTGAAGGGCTCTTTCCCTTACCTGGTCTTGTTTTTTTTGTTTTGTTTTGCTTTGGTTTTGTGCGGCCTGGGTTAAGTAACTTGCCCCGGGTCACACAGCTAGTAAGTGTTAAGTGTCTGAGGCTGGATTTGAACTCAGGTCTTCCTGACTCCACTGCACCACTTAGCTGCCCCTTTACCTATTCTTCTTAGACTCATCTTAGGCATGTGTGTGTTCTAGGTGCCTAATGAATATTTATTAAATCATGTCAGTAATGACAGATGAGGCTGTAGAGCTCTCAGCCTGGATTTGGGAAGATCTGAGTTCAAGTTAGGCCTCAGACACAAACTAGCTGGAATGAGCTCCCCTGTCTGCCTCAGGTCATCTGTAAAACAAGTAGAATCTGAGTAGCCTTTCCCCAATGTTGTGAGGTCAAAAGGAACTGATGTTTGTAAAGTGCTTAAGTGCTATATCAATGCTAATTATCATTATTATTGATTATGAGGGCTGGCACCTGGAGGAATTCCTGTTGTTCATGTTGGCCTTGAGGGCAAACTGCAGGTATGGGTGAAAGTCATGAATAGACAGTTAGTCTTTATGTCAGGAAAACCTTGCTCACAGTGAGACCTGTCCCAAAGCGGGCACCCCCCCCACCCTATCCCCCACCCCCTGGTGGCCTCTCGGTCAGTGCACCAGAGAGGTGCCGGTCAGTGCAGATGGTTCTCTCCCAGCACCAAAGCTTCTGAAATCCTAGTTTGCTCTTCGCCAGTCCTGGACCAAGGCCATTTTCTCATCTGGTTAAAGCAGTTTGTCCCGTTTTAGATGCCCACAGAACAAAGCAGTCCCGAGCTTAGGCTGTGTCTGCCTTGGGTCAGATGCCCATCTGTGCTCTCCTGTCTCCACACTTGGGAATCCCCAGCCCTGCTCCCTCGGTGCCAGTAAAAACGTTCCCTTTCATGGGGAGCACTCCGAGGGGTGTACCCCCTAGCAAATGGGCCTCATTTGAACCAGATTATGAGAGAGATTTTTTTCTTAGTAGTTAATAGTGGATTTACAAGTGTGCAGGAAGCTGTAAGTCCCCAGAGCACGGTAGCCACAGCCTGAACTCTGCAAAGGTAGAACCAGACAGAAACCCAGGCTTCCAGCCATCATTTCAGGGCTCCCCCAGAGCACAGGCATTCCAAGTCCAAAATCCTCCATGGGCTCATCTGCATGGCACCCTGGCTCTGGCTGCACCCTGCGGCCCCCCGGGGCTTGACCTCCCAGTCCTTGGGAATCACCTCCAGTGCCTGAAACAGCGAAGGACAAACACCACAAAACAGAAACAAACACCCCCCAGGCTCATTTCTCAGAGCTGAGTGAAAGAGAGGGAGGGAGGAAAGTCCTTCAGCTCAAGGCGTCCGTGCTGTGGATGAACTGCAATCTTTGCTCTCTGGCCCGAGCAGAAAGAGCAGAGGAGGAGAAGACTGAGTGGCTCAGGCTGCCCAGGGGGTGCAGAGGCATCCATGCCGGGCAAACTGGACGTGCCCCAGAGACCTCTCAGAGGCATCTCCGTGTTGCCAAACTTGGCACGGATAGACCAGCCCAGGTTCCATACAAACTCCTCTGTCTGGCGATTAGAGATGGCGGGTCCCTCAGCTTTGTAAGCTGAGGATCTGGAGCAGCCTGGCTTTCCAGGCTGGTTGCAAAGGACTCTTCCTCTGGAATGCTCTCAGATTTTCCTCATAATATACCCTTTCCCACCTCTGTGCCTTTGCCCAAGGATGTTCTTTGACCAGATCAATAATGCACCAGTTTCTAAACAACTTGCCTCATTTCCTTCTCGGGACAAGAGCTCACCAATACCTGAAATGCTTTCCTACCTCACGTTTGCCGCCCACAGGTACCCTCTCCTGTGGGAGGCCCGAGCCCTCCCGGTCTGAGAACGCCCTCTATTCATTGTCCTTCCTTAGTATAGACTCTCTAACTAGTCCCCTGTGTTGTGGCTGTATTCCGTGCCCCTGCAGAGTTGAATGTAAGTCACCAGAGGACCTTGTCTCGTATCCAAGTATGTAGCAGAGTGTAAACTATGCTATGCTGTACTCTACTGTACTCTACTATACTGTACTGTATTATATACTGTACTACCGCTGTGCCCGTGGGCTGTGCCAAGCAGGGGCTCGAATTATGCCTATTAGGTTGCATTAAGTCGCTATTGTCTTTTACCTCTGAGCTAACCCTGCAGACTTTCTGTCTGTCTGTCTCTTTTTTAGTGTATTAGTCACTCATACAGACGCAGTCAAAATTTCTGACTTTGGCACCTCGAAAGAACTCAGTGATAAAAGCACAAAAATGTCGTTTGCTGGCACCGTGGCATGGATGGCCCCCGAGGTGATCCGAAATGAGCCGGTCTCAGAAAAGGTGGACATCTGGTGAGTGGCTGTCCCTACTGGCAGCTGGGCGCCCGGAAGCCAGCCCTTATCCATCCTCCTCCATCCCTCTTCCAGCAGCTCAGACAGCCTGGGATCCAGTGGGAATCAGCAGGACGTGGGGGGAGAAGTGAGGTTGTGTCCTCCCGATAGCCACAGGGAAGGTGATCATTAATGCTTGCCTGGCCTGGGAGGGCCTGAGTCCACCGGGAAAGCTTCGGCTGCCCCCCGGGCGTCTTCTGGGTCCTAGTTGAACGTCACTGACTCAGGCGTGGCCACTTCCAAGGAAGGTTATCCCTTTCCAGACCGCTCAGAAGTTAGCGCCAGCCCCGCCCAAAATCAAAACAACCCAAAACAAAGAAACCCAATTTCTGATTCCATGTTTGCGTCCATGTTGTGGCCCCCCGTAGAACGTGAGCCCCCTGAGGGCAGCCTCACATAGTCCCTGGCACATAGAAGGCCCTCAGGAAATGCTTTGGCTTGGGTGGTCTGTAGCCTCAGTAGACTGTCTGGTCCTGGAGGACCCGCTGGTTTCATTTTTGTCCCCGTATCTCTGCCCCTCAGCACCATTCCTGGCACATAGTAGGCACTTAAAAAATGGAATTGTTCTAGAGCTGAAAAGGGACCTCCTTAACTTACCCAGGAAGGACTGAGGCCCAGAGAGGGTGAGGGACTTGCCCAAGGACACACAGTGAGTCAGGGCAGAACCAGGCTTTGATGCCAAGGAACTTGGGCGCCAAGGACGCGCTCTCCCTCTGCCCTGCTGCCTGGGCTCAAACACTCATGCCTTGTTTCTGTATGTTAGTGTGGTCTTTGTGTGTCTGGCCTATGCAGCCTCCCCCCAGAATGAGAAAGGAGGTGAGACCTAGGGTCCCTTCCAGGGCTGCACCTCTGGTACTTTGATCGCCAGCTCCTGGAGGCAAAACTATGTCCATTTCTCTCATTTTCCTGTTGCCCTGCAAGCCTAGCTTTGCACACAGTAGGCAGCTGGGTGGGGCAGTGCACAGAGCACTGGACGTGAAGTCTGCAAGTCCTGAGTTCAAATCCTGACCTGAGTTCAAATCCTGACTAGCTGTGTGGCCCTGGGTGAGTCACTTAACCTCTCTGTGCCTTAGTTTCTCTCTGTCAAATGGGAATAATAGCGCCCGCCTCCCAGATCAAATGAGGCAAGCAAAGCACTTTACACCTTAGAGCCGTAGAAGCGGGGACTGTGACGTCACTGTTATCCTCAGCCTCAGCAGGTGATCAGTGAGTCTTTATTACATTACATTTCTTTAAATCAATCAGAGAAAACCAGTCAGAAGTCGGAAGCCTTGAGCCTGATGCTTCAGAGACGCTTCTCTAGTCACGGTGACTAGAGAGCAGGAAGCAGAGTCGGCAAGATGTGGGTGCAGATCCCGCCTCAGGGTCTTCAATTGTAAAACTCGGGGGGCTGGACTCAGTGGCCTCAAGGATCTCCTCTGCCTCTGGATCTGGATCCTGCTATATGTCGAAAAGCCGGGTCCTTTCCTGTGGTCTAACAGCTGAGCTCCCGCCCCCCACCGAGAGAAATACGCTGTCTTCCATCAAAGGCTCTTGGAGCCTGATTTCTGGGCTCCGAGAGTGTACACAGCTCTAGGGACCCCAGAGGCCATCACGCCAGACCCCCTCGTTTTACAGATGAAGAAACTGAGGCACAGAGAGGTTAAGCAGCTTGCCCGCGGCCGCACAGCCGGAAGCATCTGAGGCTCTGTATTTCTTGTTCCCAACAATAACGATAACGATGACTAGAACAGCCCACCCTCCCCACCCCCAAGATAAAGCCATTTTCCCTATGTGTTCTGACGCGGCTGAGTTTCCCTTCTTTTCAGGTCTTTCGGGGTGGTGCTGTGGGAGCTGCTGACAGGGGAGATCCCGTACAAAGACGTGGACTCGTCGGCCATCATTTGGGGCGTGGGCAGCAACAGTCTACACCTGCCTGTCCCCTCCACGTGCCCCCGATGGCTTCAAGATCCTCATGAAGCAGACCTGGTGAGATGTCTACCTGTCTGGAGCCTAGGAACACCGGGGAGGGGAAGCCTCCGAGGAGGAGACTGAGGCCAGAGAGGGGGTCCCCTGGTTCTCCTGACCCTCCATTCAGTGCTCTACCCAACCCTCCCCTAGTCTGAGCCCCTGATTCCCTGCCCTTCAGAACAGGGAAGAGATGGCCCACGGGAGGTACACAGTTCACATGGGAGATGTCTCCAGGTTCTGCAGGCCTCAGGAGATGTCAGATCTCAGAAGAGTACGGAGACCCCCGTGGTTGCAGCTTCTGCTTGGCTGAGAGGCCTCATGCTGGAGAGGTTTCAGATTCTGACCCAGACACTTACCCACTGTGTGACCCAGGGCGCACATTCAGCCTCTCTGGGCCTCAGTTTTCCCATTTGTAAAATGAGGTTGGATGTGGTGACCTCTGGCGGATCTTCTGGCTCTACACCTATGAGGCTGCGAAGGGAAAGAAGGAAGAAAATGAATGAGCATTTATTAAGCGCCTACTAAGTGCAGGTGTGCTCAGCACTGTCCCCCTGGCTGTTACCACCCCCACTTTGCACATGAGGAAAGTGAGGCAGGTGAAGGTCAAGAACCTGCCCCATGTCACACAGCTCTGAAGTATCTGAGGCAGGATTTGAACTCGGGTCTTCCTGGCTCCAGGTGCCACCCGGCCGCCTCTAGCCGAGTTGAAAACGCTGGTCATAAAACAGCATGAGCGCCCTCCCTCTGCTCTGCCAGACGCAGCCCCGGAGCCGAGCTCACCAGCGGTCTCTTCCTTCACTCTAGGCAGAGCAAGCCCCGCAACCGGCCTTCCTTCCGCCAGACGCTCCTGCACCTGGACATCGCCTCTGCCGATGTGCTCGCCACGCCACAGGAGACCTACTTCAAATCTCAGGTGAGCGGGGAGATGTTGCTCCCTGGTCCCCTCCCAGCCTGTCCCCACAGCGACGGGGACCGAGCGCGTCCGCAGGCTCCTCCGCCTGGCGTTCCAGGCCCTCTGTGGTGGGGCCGCCATCCTGCCCCCCGGCACCCAGCGCACCAGCCCATCTAGCTTCCTGCCCCCCCACCCCCGTCATCCCGGGCCTCCTCCCTGCAGGCCTCCCTGATTTGTCCTTCCCCAGCCCACACAGAGCGTGCTTGTACACAGCTGGTGTCTGATAAATGTTTGCTAAATCCAATTGAACTGAATCCCGAGGGCTCTTCAAGGCTGCACTGAGAGGTCTCCTCCTCCAGGAAGCCTGTGCTGATCCCTCCTATTTGCCACTACTCTCTCTCCCCCCAAACACCTGGTTTTGACTGACCTGTGTCTTGGTGTCTCAGTGCCCACCAGAGTGCACACGGTGGGTGCTTCATAAAGGGCCGTCCATTCACACTGAATGGAACCATCAGAGCTGCAGGAGTTGAGCCTCCTTTGTCTTCTGGCTGGCAGCCCTGGACATCCCCGATAACGTCCCGGTCACTGAATGTGCATGTTGGGTGCACGTCTCACTCCCTGAGGGCTGGCCCGTCAGCTCCCATCAGCTCCCATTCCTTCCCTGGCTCAGTGACCCGGTCAGACATCACTCCTCATTTCTGCTGAAGTTGTCCGGCACCTTGGCTGCTTGGACACAAGTCATCAAGCTCAGCATGTGATTCTCATGAGTCACATGTGCCTACAATAAAACCTTCTTTGAGTAGATAAGGCAGGCCCCCATTTCTAAACAACCTTCCTCTCCTCCTTTGTGGGACAAGCCATCACACTTTTTCATAAGCTGTGCCCCCTGCCTGGGACACTCTCCCTTTCCACTTCTGCCTCTTCCACCCCTGGCTTCCTGACACACTCAGCTCCTCCTAGAGGCAATCTTTCCTAATCTCCCCTTCCCCAGTCGTTAGTGCTTCTCCCTTCAAATGACCTCCTATAGACTTATCTGTAGAGAGAGCTCCCCTTGGATCCAGGAAGACCTGAGTTCGGGTCCCACGGTGGACGTATACTGGTCTTGCAGCCCCGGGCAGGTCCCTTAACTTGTCAGTGCTCTGGGCAGCTCTTGGGGAGAAGGCATGGACCCGCGTCAATGGAGGAGGCCTCCTCACCTCGGTTCCCTTCACCAGTGAAATCACAGCTCCTGTCCCTCCACCCATCCCCATGCGGAGGATGTCCCCGCTGTGGAACAGAAGCTGCCGGGAGGCAGGGCGCTTGTTTTGTCCCCGTATCCCAGGGCCCAGGGGAGTGGAGGGTCTCACTCCATGCTTGTGGAGTTGACTGGATCCTGTGCAAGCCTCAGATAACAGAGCAATTCCCAGATATCCAGAGAAATTGTTCTAGAGAAGAAGGCCCCCCACCCTCGAAGGGGCTTCCTTCTGGGAACATTGCAGCCGGGGGCTCCCCAGAATTCCCAGTGGAGCAGCTGCAGTTCTGACTGTGCCTTGGTTTCCCTTCTCGCAGGCTGAATGGAGGGAGGAAGTGAAAAAGCACTTTGAGAAGATCAAGAGTGAAGGCACTTGTATACACCGGCTGGATGAAGAGCTCATCAGGCGCCGGAGAGAAGAGCTCAGGTCTCCTCCCAGGGCCCCCCTCTTCGCCTTCCCCCTCTCCCACCCCCATGCCTTCTCCCGCACTCGCCCACCATCTCCTCCTGTGTTCCTACCGCGCAGCGTCCTTCTGGTGTGTAGGATCCAGGAGAATGGCATCAATCATTTTAGGATGTCTCATTGACGCTCTTTGTTTTTGAACGCCACGATCGCATCCCATCGACGTCTCCCCTGTCTTGCCCTGACCCTAGATCAGACTGACACAGGCCGCAGGGCGTTTGGTGGGTGGATGTCTCCTGGAACCATGTTTGGTTTGGTTTTGTTTGCTAGGCACGCACTGGATATCCGGGAACATTATGAGCGGAAACTAGAACGTGCCAATAACCTGTACATGGAGCTGAGCGCCATCATGCTGCAGCTGGAGGTCCGGGAGAAGGAGCTTATCAAGTAGGCAGCCGGCCTGTGCGCTCCCCTCCCCAACCACTCCCCCCCCCCCCCCCCGCCCAGCCACCTTTTGTGGGCCCAGGACGGGCAGCCCCAGGGGCGGGAACAGCTCCTGACCTCGAAGCCTCCTCAAGGCTCCATCGGCACTCCATGGACAATACTGGATGTTGAATGAAATATGGGCAAAGGGGCCTCAACAACCCAGGAAAATTATTAGGGAGGATCCAGCCGTCATTCTCGGCCTCCCTCAGGGGCTTTCAACGTGTCCTGCACACCAAGGCAGCGTTTCGGCTGGCCAGCACCAACCGGCCCATGTCCGTGCCCGCGCCCATGAGGGCGTCTTGGACTCAGATCCTTGTTGGGACTCTGTCATGGCCTCTTTACACCCGCCACGAGCCTCTCCATCATCCTGACAGATCTTTTCCTCCTTTTCTCTAATGCCGTATCCTCTGGAGGGTGACCTGAGGGTTTCTTTTGCTTTGGGGGCAGTAGAATTGAGGCCTCAGTATCAATAGGGCCTGAAATGCAGAATTCAGTTGAGTGACTTTGGGATAATTTGTCTCTCTTCTTATTACACTAGATTACCTGCATAGGCACGTAGTTTTCTGACTCTGATAGCTCCAGCCAGACCGTGCCAAAAATAAATAAATGAGTGAAAGAATAAACGGATAAAGAAATGGAGAGTGCTTTCTCTCTGTCCCTTCCTTGGTTGAAATGGGACTTTTCATCTTCTTTCACAGGCGTGAGCAAGCTGTGGAAAAGAAGTATCCTGGAACCTACAAACGGCACCCTGTGAGACCCATCATCCATCCCAACACCGTGGAGAAGCTGATGAAGAGGAAAGGGGTGTCTCATAAACCGGGACTGCCGACAAAACGGTGAGCCGCCTCTGCCTTGGGTCGGAGGTCATGTCTGGTCTTAAGCTCCAAAGGGACCTTAGGGAGCTTGTCTGCTCCACCCTCCTCATAGGAAATGGAGGGAGTTAGGTGACTAGGCCAAGGTCACATGGCAGCACTCTGCCTGTGGGGCCTGAGCCCCTGGCCGCTTCTCAGGGATGTTGTGGAGGGAATTCCTATTCTGGGAAGGCCTGGGCTGGATATATCAATCAGTCAGCGTATGTTAATCCCTTACTGCGCACCAGGCCTGAGCTACATAGAAAATGCAAAACAATCAAATCTAAGTCTCCTTTTAAAAAAATTAAAAGAGCTTTGCCTGTCTCCAGCCCTCTGACACCTCTCCCACTATCTGTAATATTTCCTGATTGTTTAATTAACAATCAAACTGACAATTGGCTGATTCAGGCACACCAGCCAGCTCTCTAGGGTCCTGGAGCCAGGAAGCCCCGAGTTTGAATTCCGCCTTCGTGGCTTAGGAGTTGTTTGGTATTGGGCTTCACTCTCTGAGCTTCAGTTTCCTCATCTGTAAAATGGGGATAACAGTGCCCCACCGTGTGGTTGGGAGACTGCAATGAGGAGCGCCCTGTAAGTGGTTCGCAGGCATTGGGGGGGGGCATTTGTCAGTGTTTCTCCTCCGCGATGTCCCGCTGGGACACAGCCCACGCCCGCCTCTCCTCTCTGGGCTGACGACCCCTTGTCTTCCTGGGTAGAGATGCCAGTGGCAAAATCTGGACCAGGAATCCCCCGGTCCCAGGGCGTTAGGGCAGGATTCCCCTGCAGGCCTGTGGCCTCTCCTGGCATCCGCCAGTGCGAGCCTCGGAGTCGCTGGCTGGGGCCCCGTGGGGGCTCCATGCCTGGCCGGGTGACCCCAGGCCTGCCTGGCTCCAAGGCCGGGCAGCATCTCTGCGGGTCATTAGGGATAAGGCCATCCCACCACGGCTCTTTGGTGTCCGGTGTTCCACTACATCCCTTGGCTCGATGCTGGCCTCTTCGGGGTAACATCTGTCCTCTCTCCCAGGCCAGATCTCCTGCGCTCCGAAGGCATCCCCGCCACGGAGGTGGCTCCCCAGGCATCCCCGGTGTCCGGGAGCCCCAGAATATCAACTCCGGGCAGCAAAGGCCGATACCGCAGCAAGCCCCGCCACCGCCGGGCCAATAGCAAAGGCAGCCATAGTGACTTTGTGGCCATCTTGAAAAACCAGCCGGCCCAGGAGGCCTCCCCCCAGGGCACACTGCCCTGCCCGCCTCCTGCCCCCCTCCATCCTCCCCATCATCACAGCGCCCAGCAGCAGCAGTACCCCCAGCCCTCGAGGCCCTCGGCCCACGACCACCACCCCAGCCTCAACCTGCATGGGCAGGACATCGCCAACTGTGCTAACAACCTGAGGTACTTTGGGCCCGCGGCGGCCCTGCGCAGCCCGCTCAGTAACCATGCTCAAAGACAGGTGTCCGGCTCCAGCCCCGACCTCATCTCCACAGCCATGGCCGCGGACTGTTGGAAGGGCTCAGAGCCCCCGGGGAGCTTGGCCGGCCCTTGGGCCTGTTGTCAGGCAGACCCCTATGACCCCTGCCTCCAGTGCCAGCTGGAGCCCAGCCGGCCACGCGAAGCATCTTCAGAGCCAGAGGCCCAGAGCTCCAGCCTCCACCGGCCCGTGGCCCCAGCCCACGGCAGCCTCTGTGAAGCTGGGCAGGCTCCTGACAAGAGGGAAGCTCAAGAATTCCAGGGCTGCCAGCCTGTGTCCTCCTTCAGCCCCCCCCAGCACATGACCCCTCCGATGCTACCTCGAAAAACGAGACCCCTTCAGAAGGTAAGGCCCGGGACAGGGTCTCCGCATGGCACCCCTGCTGAGCCCACTTAGTTGTCATTAGAAACAAGCTTTCTCCACCAATTAAGCGGCTGATTGACACCAAGGCTCTCTCTGCCCAGGTTCCTCGGCACCAGGGGTCTCCTCTGAGCCCCGCTGCTGGAGGAGGCTGGGGCCCACTGCAGAGAGGTAGGAAAGCCTGGCAGGAGTGACGGCTCTGCCACCAAGCAGCCTTGGACCTCACTCCTCCCCTGAAAATGAGGGGGTCAGCTAAATAACACACGAGGTCCGTCCAGGGCTGGCGTGGTTGGGCGTAGAGCTGGAGGAGCCTCAGACATGATGGGACCCCCCTGCCTCAGTGTACAGGGGCATCCTCCGGGCCCTCGATTCCGTGGTTACCTGAGTGCCAATTCTCTCTGGCCCTCCGCCACCTCCTAACCGTGGCTTGTCACCAGGGCACCCCCAAGGGATAATCAGACATGTGCTTGCATGTGGGTGTTGTGGCTGGGTGGGTGTCTCTCTACATGTCCATACGGAAATCTGGGCCTTGAGAGAGACAGACCCTCTGTGAAGCCTCAGAGTTTGTGCCCACTCGGGTGGGGCCAGGGCCTTGTCCAATCCAGCTGACTCTTTGCCAGCTGCCCATCTGTCCATAGGATTGAACGAAGAGAGAAACTTGGGCTTAGGTGCTTGAAATGTGAAATGAACACAGTAAAACCTCCCAGGTGATTTCTGTATTTTTCACCTAGACATTTATCAAGGTCATGTGTGTTTTCACAAACAAAAATTCTCTCCTTTTTTTTTTTTTAAAGAGGATGGTAATGGAGGGTGGGAAGGAAGGCAGGAGCCCTAGGAGTCAGCCTCACCGATGTTTTTGGATTAGGGCTGCATGGGGAGTGGGCTCTGGAGGAGATTCTAGGACAGCCCAGTGTAATGGATGGACAAGACTCCAGCTTGGGAGTCAGAAGCCATGAGTTCAAATCCATGGAGGGGTCGTGGGCCAGAGCAGAATCCCCCCTCAGCTTCCTCCTCTCTAAAAGGACCAGATGACGTCTGGGTCCCTTCCAGCCCTACGGCCAGGATACTTGACGCTGCTGGCAGTGACAGTGATGAAGACATCTTTTCTGTAAAGGTTTGTAACAGCTCCAGTAAAACCCATCTTTCCTTGTCCCTCTCAGAGTGGTGACGACTCTTCAGAAGAGGAAGAAGGAGAAGTCGATAGTGAAGTTGAGTTTCCCCGAAGACAGAGGTAAAACGCTGCACGCTCAGCCCCTTCCAAGGCGGCCCAAGAGGGGGCAGCTCAAGCTTAGCCACCGTCCCCTTTCCCTGTAACAAATGTTTAAGATGACGAACATTTATTAAGCTCCTACTATGTGGCAGGTACTGAGATACAGACATAAAAATAGAACCATCCCTGCCCTCAAGAGGCTTCTATGCCCCTGGTACTTTTCTTACAGCCTCAATAACCAAGGTATAAAAATGCCCCCAGAACCTGAGGTGCTATTGAGTCCATTGGTGAAACCCTGTGGCACCATAGAGTCTAGAGTGGAGAGTCGGGCTAGAATCACAGGTGCCCTGTACTTTGGCCTCCCCCTCAGCCCAGGAGTCTTTTTACTCACTATATGCTAGTCTTGGCTAACCCTGCTGCCAGCATATGCTGTTTCTCTGTGGCCCTTTAGAGGCGGCCTCCGACGCAGAAGAGATGTCCCGAGGTCTCCCGCAATCAGCAAAGAAGGTCTCACCTTCTGCAGACCTGGAGATCCCAGGTCACCCTTAGGACATCCTGGCCCACGAGGCCATTCTTCAATGATTCCTAGACGTGGCCCCTCCAAAATCTGTCCTGACGAGGGTGACTGAGATTGGACGCTATGGCAAGGGAGGGATTATTAAAGAAGTTGGGAAGGTTTAGATGGAAGAAGCTGCAAGAAGCAACTCACTGGAAAAGCTGCCATAGGACTGGGCTTGTCCATTTGGCAGCAGGGAGCAGAGCCAGGCCTGATGGGTGGGTGGGGAGAAGGAGGCCGCTTCTAGGAGGCTCAGTTCTAGGCAGAGCTTTCTAATGATCAGAGCTGTCCAGAAACTGGACCAGAGAAGGTGAGCTCCCTGGCCCTGGAAGTATTCCCACCGAGGGACAGAGGACTTCTCAGGAATATGGCAGAACAGACTCTGGTCCTGGGCTGAAGGGTGAGCTCGGTGACTGCCAAGGTCCTTCCCAACTCTGGTACTGTGATGTCCCTTAGATAGATTCAGTGACTCCTTCAGTTCTGTGGTGATCTTCTATACCCTGGTTATTTTTTAATAGTATTTTATTTTTCTAATTACATGTAAAGACAATTTTTAAAATTCTTTTTTAGGTTATTAAATCCTAAGAAAAGTATTAGTAGATAAAATGACTTTCTGTCCTGTGCTCATTCAGGCTAGCCTTAGAAATAGCCACTTGCCTCCTTATGCTGAAAAGGAGCTGAGCCCTTGCTGGCCACCCCCCATGCCTGGGATGCTCTGCCCCCTCACAGCTGCCCCTTAGAATCCTTTGGCTCCCCGGGCAGCCTTCCCTCGGCTGTGAGCATGTGCTCCCTCCTGTTCTCAGGTACATCCTTGTCTCTACACACACACTGTATCCCCCTCCCAGGAGAAGTCCACTTTCTAGAGGATGGAGCTTGGTTTCCATGTTTTGTCTGTAATCCTGCACCGTGGCACAGCGGGGTGCCCCCAGCAGGCCTTTGAATAAGGGCCCCATGGTCCACACTGGCTTGGACTGGAAGGACAGTCTTCAAAGGGGATTGGTTAGTGTGGGGACAGATGGAGGCAAGGGCAGCCAGCCGTGGTTTGGGGGGCTGGGCAGATGTTTGTCAAGACTGTAAATCAAAGGAGGCATTTTCTGTGAAGTCCCCTCGGTGCCAAGCTCACTTCCTCTGATGAACCGAATTACACAGGCCTCTTCTCGTGGGGTCCTACAATCCACAGATCAGAGCTGGAAGGGCCTTGGAGAGCACATAGGCCGGCAGACTCCCACAGGCCCAGAGAGGGTGGGGACTTTCCCAAAGCCACTGAGTCGCTCATGGCAGGCAGGTCCTCGGACTCCAATCGTCCTTTGGTCGGGGACTGGCTCAGGGTGATTCCGTTTCCTCCTTCCATAACAAAAAACAACTGCTGTCCCCTATGGGAGCACACCCTACAAAGTGAATGATGTCGAGACAGGGCAGGTAGAAAAGCCCCGCCTGGCATCTGGGAGACAGCCAGCGTCCTGGGCCTGGCCCCACCGATTCACTGCTGTCTCACATGACTGTCACTTGGGTCAGGCCATTCTTACAGAGCTTTGGTCATCCCCAGGATGGTGAGCTAGGGAGTGGAAGTATCATTGCCCATTGTACAGAAGAGAAAGCTGAGGTTTGGAAAGGGGGAGCGACCTCCCCACAGCTGGCCCATGGGGGAGCCAGGATTTGAACACTCCTTGGCCCCTTCTGGAGCTGAAGTTCTGGGGGGGGGGGTCTGTGACTGAGGAAAGGGAAGGGCCAGGGGCTCCGGCAGCGACACTGACCAGACTTCTGGGTTTCAGGCCTCACCGTTGTATCAGCAGCTGCCAGTCCTACTCGACCTTCAGCTCAGAAAATTTCTCTGTGTCCGACGGCGAGGAGGGGAACACCAGCGACCACTCCAACAGCCCCGATGAGCTGGGCCGCCGGCTGGAAGACCGGCTGGCCGAGAAGCTGGAGGACCTGCTGTCGCAGACCCCGGAGATCCCCATCGAGATCTCCACCCAGTCCGACGGGCTTTCGGACAAGGAGTGCGCCGTCCGCAGGGTGAAGACTCGGATGTCCCTGGGCAAGCTTTGTGCCGAGGAGCATGGCTACGAGGTGGGTGGCCCAGGGACCCCTTCCTCTGCCCCGCCCTTGGGTGTGGGTGCCTTCCTCACCTTTCCCAACCGCCAGCTTGCAGGGGAGCAGGCGGAGCAGGCTGGCTGGTGGGTGGGAAGGCGGTGGGGAGCCTGCCCAGCCTCCTCAGGACCAAGGATCCCCCTCCCGGAGGCTGAGCTCTCTTTCTGCTCCTTGCTCCGCAGAATCCCGGGCCGCTGGGGGAGTCCGACTGTGACTCGTCCGACGGGGAGTGCTCGGATGCCACAGTCCGTACCAACAAGCACTACAACTCGGCCACGTGGTAAAGAGAGCCAGCCGGCCAAGGCAGGTCACTCGCTGTCTGCTCCCCCATCCTCCTCCCCAAAGTGATCTGCAACAGCAGGGACGTGAGACTTCACATCGCACCTCTCCTGAGGGGAAGATGGCGTCCAGACGAAGTTAATTCTCACCGAGCATTTCAATCAAGAATGGCAGGGATCTCTTTTATTGACTCTTCTAGCTACTGTAACGCGAATATTTATTTTTGTTTGACATTTTAACACTTTGTACTGTAAAGAGTGAACTATATATGGCATATGTATATATTATATATACATACAGAGACAGACACAATAATTTGTTGCAAAAAAATTAAGAAGGAAATAGAATTTAAGAGCAACGTCCCTCGAGTTTATGGGGCCAGGAATTAGTGCTGCTGATTGAATAGGGGACCAGGCCTTTGGGCCCTAGCAATGATGGAAAAGGCATTGAAAAAAAACAGGGAACAGAGAAAAAAAACCCAGCAATATCCTGTAATTTGCAAGCAGAGCTCCCAGCCGGACGAGGGGCTCAGGACTCTGGGCGGCGAGGGCTGGAGGCTAAGCTGCTCCCTCGGAGTGAACGGAGGCTGCTTTTATTTCTCTGATTTTTGAAGCAGCATCTGGCTGTCAGGACCCCCTCCGTTTCTCCTGGGAGCTCCTGGGCTTCTCCAGGTTCTTCTGGGGCCAGCCCAAGCGTGACCTGGACAGGTCTGAGGACCGCTTGCACAGCTCAGGGAGCCCTGGGGCGTCTGATTGCAGCTGGCCTGTGTCTTCTCCACCTCCTGTCCACTTTGCCTAGAGAAGGAGCCAGGGCGTCTGGGGCTGAGCTTAACAGGGCCGGCGTCAGCTTTCCAATAGTGGTTCAAACCTGTCCCTTTAGTTTGTATTTATTAATTCTTTACTATTTAGAGAGCCTCGGGTAACCACCAGGTTAGTCTACAAGAGCCAGATGACATGGGAAGATTCCCCATTCTACCCTCCACCCCAAACCCTGAAACAGAATGTGATTGTAAGTGTAATATCCTTGGTCAGAGAAGCTTCACGTGGTGTTTACCTCTGGGACGTAGAAGGGTCCTGGAAGTAAACCCCGTGTACTGCTCAGGGCCTGTCCTGGGGCAGAAGACCACTCACCTCCAGGCCAAGGGCTCAGGAACCTTTCCAGGGGGGCTTCCCTCCACCCAGGGGGGAAGGAACTTCAGGGCGGACAAGTGTTAACCTGGGTCCCATCCCCTGGCCCCAGCTATGCTTTTATGTCGAGCTCTCTCTCTCTCCCTCCCTCCCTCCTTCTCTCTTTCTTCCCCCTCGCCCCTGTCCTGCCCCAGGCCTAGGAAGTTGAGGCGGATTTGGGCAGCACCCTGTCTTTGTAGATTGAGGCATAAAAATGGTTCCAGATCAAAGCAGTGTCATTCCCTCCCCACCCCTACACTCACACACTATACACACAGACAAAATACACACGTGCACATGCATCCCTCCTGTGGGTCTCGCTGGCTGCACCGGCCTAGGAGGCGACTAGGGGCCAGTCTCCTTGACTCACTGGGTACATCTGTTTGTTTACACGTAATGTTGAGACATTGATTTTAATTTTGTGGCTATAATTGATAGCCCTTAGATAGGATCAAGGAACAGTGGGTTTCCTCCATAGAGCAGTATTGTACGAGCTAAATTATTCCATTTTATAAAATTTCTGTAGCTGGACTACATGAAAGGTCTTAAGTTCAGGCATTTTTATTGTTATTATTTTATTATTTTATCATCATTGTTGTCATGATCACTTTTCTGTCGATCAGAAGGTTTGGTTTACAGTGGAACACAAATGATTGCGTATTTATTGCTGACAGTGAACTGTGTGATTTTATAAAGGAACAAAAGAAACGCTACGTGGACGCGGTCCCTCATTGGTCCTTGTGAGTGTGGCTGGGCAGATGCCTAGAGCAACAATCACCCGCTGCTGCCGCCTCGGCCGCGGGGCCCGGCCCGGAGACCGCAGCACAGCGGGCCTTCACTGGGTGTGCGCTAATCGGCCCGATCGGGTGAACGGACGAGCGACGGCCGACGCGTCCTACAGCCCCTGGTCTGCAGCAGGAGGCCCGGGAGAACTGCCCCGCAAAGCACAGGGGACCCAGAGAGTCCGGGTCAGAGCCGCGCCCGAGACCGTAGCACCCTGTGTCGCAGGGAAATAAGAAATGGAATAAAACTCCTCCTCCCTCCCAACCCCAGATACACACGGACTTGTTATGTCTTAGCTAATAGCGGGCGAGGGAGGGTGGTCAGAAGAAACCTGCAGCTGCAGCCCCGCCTCCCTGGCTACGTCCCAGTGTGAGGGCTGCTATCGGGAGGACGCTGTGCCCGGCAGAGCTTCTGAAGGGACAGGGGGTCTTGGCTCCGTTATCTCCCCGCGCTCTCCCCACCCCCCAATTATTTCCCCACCTACCCTAAAACTATGAAAGGCTGCAGAGGACCCGGCCAAGCCCCCATCTTAAAGACTCCTAGAATGTCTCTGACGGAAGGCACCGGCTCAGAACGAAGGTCTCGATTTCATTTAATACGTTTGTTTACATCATGAGAGGGGTGGGTCCAGGTTGAACCCTTCTCTATGACAAAAAGAAGCAAATTGCCACCAGCAACATAGGCACTAAATTTCCCCGTTTTCAGACTGAATTTTTTTAAAGCAATTTTCTTTTCAGGGTCAATCCTCCCCGTCTCAGCTCCCCTTCTCTTCCAGGGCCCAGCTAAATTCCAAACTGACCCACGGGATAGGCTTTTGGCTTCGATCCTCCAGGTCACTAGCTACCCCCTTTCCAATGTCATCTCCCTGGAGGGGCCCGTCACTGGGTGCCTCTTTAGACATCTCGAATTTACTCTAAGTCCTGAGGGCCCCAGGGCAGAACAGGGTTCAGGGCAATACCATTCCCTAGACTGTTTTCACCGTCCTGTCCTTGGTCTCCTTTAATTTTCTGAGCTCTCCTGAGGAAAGCCCGAGCTCTTGAGCTGGCCTTGCCCATCTAAGGTTGAGCAGGGCCAGACTAGCCGTCCTGATGGAGCCCACATGTGTAACTGGGGCACCTGCAGAGAGCTGGGCTGTCATCACCCAGGATCAGCTCCGCATCTGCACATCCTTCTCCGTGGGCTCTGCAGTCAGGCAGTCAGCGTTTACTAAGCACCTGCTGTGTGCCAGATGCCATGCTATGCACTGGGGAGACAACAAACAGCAAAAGCCAACCTTGGCTTCCAGGAGCTCACGTTCTAATGAGAAAGGCGTGGATTGGGAAAACTGGGTGGCACTGTAATGGACAGAGCACCAACCCCGGAGTCAGAAGCACCTGAGTTCAAATTCAACCCCAGATGCTTACTAGCTGTGTGACCTCGGGGCAAGTCACTTAACCCCAACTGCCTCAAAAAAAAAAAAAAGAGAGAGGAAGATATGAATTAAGTGAACGTGAAAATGTTACAAAATCATTAGGCCCTCCACTAATCACAGGGAGGGGCATTTTATAATTTGTATCGTGGGTACGATTCCAGCCTTTCCAGCTCAAAGGCTGCTGGCTGGTTGCGCCTGTTAAACATGCAGCCCTAGGCACTGCAGCCGGGTACCCCACACTCCGACCACTCTACTTGTCTGTGTGCTCTTGCTGGACGCTGCCCTGACAGCCCACCCCCACCCCACACCCCGTGTAGGCAGCAAAGGTCTCCCAAGAATAATCCAGTGTGCACAGCATCAGAGGCAGCCTCCAGAAGCAGGAGGAAAAGATTCACACTCTCTGTGGAACAGCCACGTGTCCCAGGCAGCCCCAGGGGTGGGGGCACCACCTTCACGGTAAGAACCAGGCCCTTCAGCCAGTGTCAGCCTAGGCCCCTGGGGCAGCCCAGGGCTGGGGAACAACCAGCAGGATCCTCTCCCCCATGAGGCCCAGGGGAGGCATGCATTCATTTCAGGGGAACCCAGGCAGGGGTCAGACAGACCACATTCCCAAGCCCTTTCCTAGCGTTTTAGTTACCCCATTGTGACCCCTTGCAGCAATAATTATGCTCCTTTCTTTCCCTTCCGGTCCCCTGATTACCTCCCTGTCTGCCTCCTCTGGGGTCTCACGTCTGCTCCTCTTCTGCTCCTGATGCCAAGCTCATTTTCTGTATTGAATGCTGTACAGCAAAGGGCACCAGAGTGACTATCAGAGCAAATGAATGCATGGAATAAAACAAGTGTATGGAGCCTCTCTCTGCTCTTGGCTTTTCCTCGGGAGCTCTGGGCTCGGGTTCAAGTCCAGCCTCAGACACTTCCTAGCCAAGCAGGCCCTGGACCTCCGCCTGCCTCGGCCTCGTCACCGCTGCCCTGGGACTGATGATGGCCCCATAGCCAGCCTGGAAGCACCGTGACAGCGCTGGTGTGTACATTCAGAAAAGCCGTGGAGAAAACAGGGGTCTTTGGATAGAGGCTGTTGTCTGCCGGGCTCACTGACCACAGGAGCCACTCCGGGCGGTCAGTCCGCCGGGCAGGCCTCTCCCGCCACTGATCTGTTAGAGGCCAGTGGGCCCAAGCTCCTGCTTTCACGGACAAGGAAAGTGAGGCCCACAGAGCTTGGCGCTGGGGTTTGGCTCGGGCCCACGGACTCCAAATCCAGTCCTCTATTGTCTGTGCCGGACAATTCTCAGGCAAAACTCAGAGTCTGCTTGGCTTGGTACAGCAAAGGCTCACCAAGACAAGGGATAAAAATGCCTTTTCCAGACTATCCTTTAGGAACGCTACCAGATTCCCATTAGGAAGAATAACTGAGAGGCAGTATGAGGTGGTAGAGAGAGAGCTAGGCTGGAGTCCTGAAGACCTGGGTTCAAATTCTTCCTCAGATACTACATGTAACCCCCTCTGAGTCTCAGTTTTATCATCTGTAAAATGGTGACAATAATAGTGCCTACCAACAAGGTTTTTGTGAGGCTCAAATGAAATAATGTTTGAAAAATGGTTTGCAAACCTTCAAGTTCCACATAAACATAAGCCATTATTGTGGCTAAGTCAGCGACGTTTATGAAAAAACCCATTTTGTATTTATTTAAGAAGCTGTTTTGTGCATGAAAGTTCTCCTAGCAGGACGCTGTACCGCCTGCTGACCTCAGGCAGCCTCAGACCAGAGGAATGGCAAATCCGTGGGCACACGGCTGACCTCTGCCGGCCCCTGCATGCCCCCCACAACAGGCCCCACACAAAAGAAGCAGCAATCTGGCCTCGGGACCTCTTTGTCAGGCCCCAGTCAGAGTTCCACATCAAACACGGCAGCAGGCATTTACAGAATGCCAGCTAGGGGCCAGCTACTGTGCTGGGGCACAAGAACAAAACAGCCCCTGCCCTCCAGGAGCTTACGATCCATCGGAGAAGACAAGAGAAGTAAACAGAAAGCACACATAGAGCACGTCCTGGGCACAGGGGATCCCACCAATCCCCCAAGTCCACTGCCCCTGGAAGCGAACATTCCTTGGGCCTCACGCACAGCCCGAGTGAGCGATAACAGCTGACATCCCTGTGTGCGGCCAAGCCCAACGCGAGAGCGAGAGGCCGCCGGGCCCCATGGGCCACATTTCCGGAGCAATGCCCCTTTCCTGCAGTGTCACAGCTGCCTAGGGTAGGCACTGAGCAAAAAGTATCAGCCTGTGCGATCAAACACTGCATCTAACAGAACACATTAAACACAAACAATAATGAAACATAAACAGTCTGTTTTGCCTAAATTAAAAAATAAAATCATTCCCCAAATCATTAATGACAAACAATAAAAGTGAATGTACCAACAGTTTGCTCTGATTATCTCCGTCATATTGAGAGAGTGCCTGAGGAGGGAGGGACGAGAGGGCAGGGGTCCAGAGGCAGGAAAAGCTGGGGAGGACCGGGCGTCCGGGTCGGGAGAGCACTCATTCTAGGGCACTCGGCCACAGAGGGGCAGCAGCCCTCGCTCTCCCGAAGCTCGGGCACCACACCTCCCCTCACCTCTCCTGGCCTGGCCCAGGGCCTTGGTATTTGCTACAAATATCAAGAAAAGCCCCTTTTACATGCAGCTCCCCCTCCTGTCACTTAACCCTTGTCTACACAGTGCCGGTAGACTTTGTTCCCAGGATCCACAGGAAGGTGGTTGATCCACAAGACCAGAATAAACCTCCCAAGGGAAGACTGACACCAAAGAAGGCTGAAGAGGGATGTCAGGGGCCATAGGACACACTCGAGATCTTGGGCCATCTACTCTAACCCACTAATTTTACAGATGGAAAGGATATCTGGGCAACGAAACCTGGGAAATCGAGGGGCTCCTGGGCCAGTGCTGCAAGGGGGTGCCAGCCCTGACTAAGCAGAGGATAGACGAATATGGAAAGGCCCAGAAAAGCCCACAAGGGACCACGAGTGATCTATGAGGGGACCTGGCCCAACCCCCTCATTTAACGGATAAAAAACGGAAGCCCAGCAAGCAGAAGGGATGGCTGGGCCCAAAGTGGCAGGTATGGGCCTTGAACCCCGATGGTCTGGCCTTAAATGCTAGGTTCTCCCCTCTACCCCACCATGCCTCTCACATCAGCAAACAGATGCAAACAACCAGGATGTAGGTCCCTGATGGGTCAAGGCCATAATGAGCCTGGGCTGCCCACTGGCCAGGAAGGGCTGCCTCCAGGGTAGGAGCCCCTGCTGCTGCACCAGGCCAGCTGAGGAGACCCTCACCAGGGGGACACAGTAAGGGAAGGCTTGCAAGGACCCCACCCATCCCGCCAGTTAGCCAGACCAGCCAGGCCCAATCATGTCCTCTTTTTGCCATTTCCCCGGAGAAAGCCGCTGGCTTCATCGAGACTTAGATGCTTCTGGCTGAAGTGTTTGATGAGGGCTCCAGGGACCAACGCCACCAGAGCTATGGCTAGCAGCTTCAGCCCGGTCCCCCAGGAGAAGATGTCATCCAGGGAGGTGACGGTCGACAGGATGGAGCCGGTCTGGACACAGATGAAGTTGTACGGGATCAGTCCTAGAAGGAAACCTGCTGTTACTGAGAAGTCCTAAGGGTTCTGCTCTAGGGCAGGCGGTGAGGACCAGGAGTCCTCAGGATGCAAGGGAGTGTCTGCCCTCAGCTACAGCAGGGACCCACCACCACTGCCGAAAGGGGAGTGGCCCACGGGCCAAGGCAGAGAAGGAGTTCTGGGTTCCCTCTGACAGGTTGGGATGGGGGAGAGGGCCCAGGTCCAGCCGGAGCAGACAAGAAGGGAGCATTATTGGCAGAAAGGTGAGGGGGGGCTTGGAGAGGGCAATCCTACTTAGGGCTCCCAGGAGTCCCTGATGGGGTCTAAGCAATGGGGACATCCAATCCAGGGTTGTGCTTGGACATTTGATTTGGGTTCAAAATATAGCACAAATGACCTTGAGAAGTATAACTGTCCAGCCTTTGGAGAATCCACCAAGGCCCCAGGAGGAGCCTGTCACTGCCTGCCCCCTGCCCTCCAGAACCACCCCTCACTGGAGGGGGGGGGGCCTGCTCAGGCCTGCTCTCACTGTCCAATTCACACCAAGACACCAGGACCACACCCGGGGGTACAGAACAGACGCCCATTCGACTTCCTCAGCCGCAGACCAATCGTTCCAGCCATTTGGAGCTCAGCCAGTTGGGGCAATGACTCCAGCAGGGCTGAACCAGGCCCTGAGGATCACAGGCTAATGTGACCCCATCTCCAACAGGACCCCACATTCTATCCTGATCTCAGAGGGAAGAACTCCCTGCCTCCTGTCCTTCTGGGCCCCTCTCCCCAAAAACACATTCAGTCTAATTTGAGAGATCTTCCCCTAGAATGTGGAGTCAAGAAGCCCTGGGTTCAGATCCTGACCCTTATTACCCCATGAAACAAGAGCGGTATCCAAGATCTCTGCCAGCTATAAATCTGTGACCCCAAGCATCTACGAGCTACCCGCCCGCCCCTCACTTGTACGCTCCACCAACAAGCACTTACTAAATGCTTACCGAGGGCCAAGCAAGGGAGAGTCAAAGAAAGAGCAAAACCAGCACCTGCCCTCAAGGAGCTTCCATTCTAACAGAGACCACAGGGGAAGGAGACCTTGGAGCAGCTGGGTGCCTGAGCTGAGGCCAAAGGAAGCCAGTGAGTCTAGAAGGGCAGAGGAGGAAGGAGGGGACCCTCCGCCATGCCCCCACACTGTCCTCTGCCCTGTCCTGCTTGGCCTCCTCTTCCTCCCAGCTCCCGCCTCGGCCCTGGGTGACAAGACTCCTCCTCTCTCCTCTCAGCATCCTCCCCCAGAGGCCTCTGACCCCCTGGATGAGTCCCCCCAACATGAACGCAGAGCCTTCCGCCCCGCTCCTACTGGCCTCCTCTTCTTGTCTTCAGGGCTCCGAGCTTTCTCCGACCAGCCCATCTCAAACCTCAGAAGCATCTCTGAGACAGTTTCCTTCCTCACTTTCACTTTTCCAACACTCACCAGGGTTCAATGATTCTTCTTTCCTGATTTCTCCCTTCAGTTCCCTCATCCACTGGCCACTGCCCTGGGGCGACCCCTCCCTCCCTTGTCCAATGACCAAAGCTGCCTCTCCTGACCCATCCAGGCTGCCTGGAACCACCAAGTGGGTCTGGCAAGAACCTGCTTTCATTAGAAGCACTGGCAGAGGCCACGAGGTAGAGAGAGAAAAGAACTGGTTGTGCTATCAGAAAGCCCTAGGTTCAAATCCCACTTCAGACCCTAGTCGCTGTGTGACCTTCCCTTCTCTGTGGACACCATGGCTTTGAATGCCCCTTCGGTCTTGATGGAGGGAGCAGGGGGCCCGCCAGCAAAGAAGGCAGGAGACAGACCTGGGGGTCTGCACCACCGGCCTAGCGCTCTACAGCTAACAACATCCAGATGAAGTAGGGAGTGCAAGGGTTACCCCATTTTAGGGATGAGAAAACCAAGGCCGAGGGAGGTGATAGGACGACCTCCAGGAGGGCGGAACCCAGGCAGGATGGGGCGGGTCTTTCTCTTCACGTCTTCAGTCTGTTTCTCCTGCTTTGTACGCCACTCACTGCTCTAAGAACTCTGAGTGGGTCCACGAACATAAAACTGCCTCCTCTGCCCGGCACAGACTGGCCGCAGGACCTGACTACATGGGTCTCTTCAGGCTTCTTCACTCCCCCGCTGCAGCCAAATTCAGCGTCGGGCTGTTCTTCCCTGCATGCCATCTACCAGGCGTCTGCCTGGGGATACCCCTGCTACCCATTAATCTTCACCATCAAAATACCTGCTTCTCCTATGACCATATTTTCTCCATAAGCCCAGATTTTAGAGACATTTCAAAAAAACCCACCTAGCTTGGAAATGTCTGGCCCTCCCTCGAGGTGACCCAGGCCGGCTTCCCAGCCCATCCAGGCACAGGGCGTGTGCCCATCCACGGCCGTGGCCGCCCCTCCTGCCGAGGCCCGGGGTGCCCAGGGCAGAGCCGGCTCCCTCCCGCCCCTGCAGCCCCCAGCACCAGGCTCAGCACACGAGCGGCACGTGTGGCGCTCCCCCAGCAAAGGCGCTCACCTATGAGGACTGAGAAGAAGAACTGAGCGACGGGGATGTTCAGAATCGGGGCTGACAAGTTCAAGAACCAGTTGGGCGTCATGGGGAAGAGTCTCAGGAAGAGAAGGAAGAAAAACAGGCTGTTCCTGTTGTCTTCCACCTGCAGACAGAGCAAAGGGAGGGGGTGCTCAGGCTCTGGGGAGGGGGCGCTCAGGCTCTGGGGAGGGGGAATCAGCGCACCCGAAGAGGCGTGGGGATGAACAGGACAAGGACCACGGAGAAAGTGCCACGTGGGCAGATGAAGGGGCAGCACATGTTCCTTGGACTGAAAGTCTCACCACGGCCAGAGGGGCTGAAATGGTTGCAAGGATCCCCGTGCCTGGCACTAGCAGGGCCAGGTCCTTCATACATGCATGCTGATGACCAACGGACTTGGAGTCTGAGGACTGGGTTTAAATCCCAGCTCTGCCTCAGTCTACCTGTGTGACCTCCAGCAAATCACCCAGCCTCTGTGGCTCCTGCTTCCTGACCAAGAGAATGAAGGAAGGCCCATGACGGGCCGCCCCAGCTCTAAAGCTCCAGGCCTCGACCAATCAGGACCCTCATCACCAGCACATTCCAGTACACAGAAGGCCTGCAGAGGCCCAAGGAGGCTGGACAGGAGGGAGATGGACTCGGGATGCAGGACATACCACACTCAGGTGGGGGTGTGAGAGGAGCAGGGGAAGGCGGGGGTGTGGGGCGGGGAGGTCAGTAATGATGTTACCAAAAGAAACTTGAAACATTCCAAAGAACATGCACAACAGAGCAGCGGAGGACGTTCAGAAGAGACCCGGACAAGACGGGCAGCGGTGAGCCAGATGTGGCCCACAGGCCTAGTTTCCTGTGTAATCATCCTTTTCTGTTCTGTTGCACATGAAAACACTCTTTTTCTGATGTTTGTTAATTCAGTGCAAAATAAAGCAAAACTGTTCAAATCTAATGTGGGCCAGAAGCCTGCCCTGGCCTCCCACTTGTGCGTCTCCACAAGGCCGGCTGGCACACATCTGAAGGACTGATGCTACCGAGCCCAGCAGATGGCCTACACGCGTTTGGGTCCAGAGCGAGTGACCCGAAAATGCAGGAATGGCCCACCAGGTTAGAAGGAAGGCCACGGACCTACTGTGTTAGGCTGGACAGCAGTGTGATGCCCGGCAGGGCCTCCTCAAGTCCCCAGAACAGGCACTGGCTCTTTCATCCAGAGAAGAGCCTCCCGAGGCCACAGAGGGGCCTCTCCCTCAACGGCTACACAGACTAACCAGGAAGCCTCATGGGTCCTGCTCTTCCCCCCTGAACATCCGGTAGCCCCAGGAATGATGCCCAGGCACCCCAGGCGCTGAGTTCCTCACCTTTTTTTGCAGCATGGCCACCTTATCAGGGAAATAGGAGATCACCAACTGCTTTCCAAAAGCAGTGGAGAGCAGGTAGCAGCAGGTGGCGCCCACTGAGGCCAGCACACAGCACAGGACGAGGCCTAGCCATGGTCCAAATAAGGCTCCGGCCAAAATGTTCTGCAGAGAAAAGGCGAAGCAGGGCAGGGTAGGACAGCAAGTCAGTGAGCCTAGCTGCACATCCCAGCCTGACCCCAGGCTAGCGGTGAGACCTTAGGAAGGTCATTTGCCTTCTCTGGGCCTCCGTTTCATCATCTGTGAGAGGAAGGGGTCGGACTAAATGAACTCTCAGCCACTTCCGGCTCTCACAACCATCTCGGCCTCTTTGGACAGCAAACCAGCAAAGTCTGCACCTCTCCAGCATCAGCCAGACTAGTAGTGCAAGGGTAGGGGCAAGCCTGGCCAGCCCACCCGCAGAGCTGAGAGGGCCATGGCTGGACCCGCTGAACGAGGAGACTGGCCTTCCTCCATACCATGGAGGCCACAGAGGGAAACAGGAGCCAAACATGGACTCCCAGCAAACGGGACGGCTTCCCCATGTCATAGCAGGGTCGTTCCTGAAAACATCCTCCCTGGCAGACTGTGGAGGGCCGGGGGGAAGCTTTCTCTGTGGGACCCACCGGTCATCTCGGCAGAAGCCAAGGTCTAGGACCCCGGACATCTTCGCTTTCCACTGTGGCTACAAGCTGAGGCCAAAAGGTGAGAGGCCATTTCTATCCTTTGGGTTTGTTCTCCCTGCATTAAGCGAGGGAGGCTAGGCAGGGGCAGGGGGCTTTACCAGGAAGCTGGAGCCCGGGATAGCGAAGCACTGTTTGTAGAGGTAGGCACTGCAGAACAGCAACAGCACGCAGGCCTGGTGCTCCCCCTTGTAGTTCTGTAGAAAGTCCGAGAGCTCCCGGAGTTCTTCCAAGTCTGAAGGAAACTTGAGCACCCTGAGAGAAATGAGGAGAAAAGGTGATGGAAACTGGGGAGGAGGATGGTGGACAGGCCAGCCAGCCCTGACAGCGCTGGCCCCTGTGAGGCTGCCCATGCTTTATCATCCTCCACTCCCTTTGGGAAGTAAACCAAAATGGGTGAAGAGAGGGCATGACCGTGTGACCCAGGAAGTGTGGGGGGAAGGGTCAGGCCGCCCGGGCGGGTCCCTCATCTGTGAAAGGAGAAGGCTGGACTAAATGGAGCCAGGGCCAGCAGTCCAGGACTCAACAGTTGCTCGCTTTTTGAGACCAGACCTGCGACTTCCCTTGTAAGGACTCTCTTACCAATGCTGATAGACACCAGCTCTCCAGCTTACAGTCTGCCAGGGCTCCTCAGCCGGGTGCCTAGAGGCCAGATGACTTTGACCTCATGGTGACAATATACAGACCTGGGTTCAAGTCCTGTCTCTGACACACACTGGTTGTGTGTGTCCTGGGCAAGTCACAGCCCCCCAGGGCCCCAGGAAGTCTCCCAGAGACATGTCCATGCTGAAGCTAACACCTTCCCAAGGGCTCCTCTTCCCTGGTGACGCTGGCCAAATGGAAGTTAGACTCTGGACTCCAAGCAAGGGTTCCAGGGCCAACACTTCACTGATGCATCTGCCGGGGCAGATTTTGGACCCATTATCTAATCTCAGCAAAATCCTTCCTTTGCACAGAAAGCTTCCTGCCTCCTTCCAAAGTCTTTTGGACATGGTATGAAGGGTGTAAGGGGACAAAACACAAGACCATAACAATAGACTTGTCCTTGTTTTATTCCGAGGTGATGCTGCTCCCAACAGGGGGGACGGGAGAGCTTGGCCTGTGTCCAGCACTGAGAGGCTAAGGGACCCTGTCTGGGGCCAAACAGCCAGGAAGTATCCAAGGGACAACTTAACACTGGCCCTTTGTGGCTCCTGGGGAGACCCCCTCAGCCAAGGGGTCTTAATCTTTTTTGTGTGGTGGACCGCTCTGGCAGTCTAGTAAAGCCTAGAGTCTTTCTCAGAATGGTTTTAAACGCATAAAATAATATGCACAGAATTACAAAGGAAAATAGTTATAAGGTGATTTAAAAAAAAAGTTCTTGGCCTCAGGTTACGGACCACTTATATGCCATCCTTTATGGGGAGAGCCACTGTGAGGATTAGATGAGACACTGTATCTAAAACACTTTGTAAGCCTTATTTCACAATCTAATCGTCCATTATGACAATTCTCATTATGCATTCCTTCAGAATCACGTCTATGGCCACAATGCCCTTTTGCCCCCTGCCCCTGTGAAGCTAGGCAGGATTAGAGCTGGTTAGGATTTAGAAGAGAGACGACCTGGGAATATCGAGTGTTGGATTGTGGGGTGACAGGGAGAGCTGGGGTTTTTCAGATAATAGATAATGCACTGGACTTGGGTGTCAAGAAGACCTGGGACCAAAGCCTGCCTCGGACACTTACTAGCTGGGTGACCCTCAGCTTTCTCAACTACAAAATGAGAATAATAACAGCACCTCCTTCCCCAGGGTTGTTGTGACGATCAAATGAGACATGCAATGAGCTCACAATCTGAAAAGCCCTGGCACAGTACATGGCATACAGTAAGTGCCATATAAAAATGCTAGTCATCGTTCTCTCTGACCCTTAATGCAGCTACTTGGCTATTCCACAGTCTCCTCCTCTCCTAAGCTCCTCTGTCCAGTACAACCGCCCAAGCCACGGCATCGGGGGCTTTCAGTCCCTTTGCCGTCCTGGCTTTCCTCTGTCAATGTCCTTTACAAAATGGGGTGCCCTGAACTGAAGGCTCCATCAAACACCTGAAAACACAAGAGGGAACAGGAGGGGGAAGGAAGTCAGCTGGGGGCGGGGAAGGGAGGAGGACAAAGACGGCACCACAGAAGGTCAGAGACAGAGCTGCCCTTAAACCAGTTCAGCCCCCTCCTGATTAAGGCCCATGGTCACAGCAGAGCCCAATTCGAACCCAGCTTCTCAGAATCCTTGTGCCTCCCACTGTCGTGACCACACAACTGCTCTCAGTGGGTGGAGGCAGCGGGCCAGAAAGGCCCTCCGAGGTCACCGCCTTCCACCGCCTACACTGGAGGCCAGAGGGCTTGGCCATCTCATCCAGGGTCACGCAGGAGTGAGAAAGTAGGCAGGATTTCTATCCGAGTCCTCTGCTCCAGGGCTCTTTCCACTGGACCATCCTGCCTCGTTTTAGGGATGCCTGCTCACGGACTCGCAGCTATGCAGCTGAAGGACTAGGACTAGCTCCTGGCCCGGCGACCCAGGATAAGGCAGCCACTCCCCGACCCCCGGCCGGCGGGAGGTAGACCCCCTCCTCCTGGGCCGTGCCCACACCATGCCAGGCGGTGCTCCTTCCCCCCATTTGCCCCATGGCTTCATCCCAGACTACAGCCCCCCTCCCTAGCCCCCCCAGTCCCCTAGAAGTCTTGTTTTCCCCCATTAGAATGTAAGCCCCCCGAGGTCAGGCGCTGTCTTGCTTTGTTATTCCCATCTTCAGCCCTTAGAATCGGGTCAGGCATACCGGAAGTGCTTAATAAAGGCTCTGTCAATCGTTCATCCCAACCCAAGTCCAGATTTAGCAACAGAATGCGGGGAGATGAATGCGGGGAGATGGCCCAGTCCATAAGCCCCTCATCGCACACTCCCAGGGAGGGGGAGGTGTTTGCTCAAGATACACAGTGTCAGAGTCAGAACTTGAACCCAGGTCCTCTAACTCATCAGGACGTAGGAGAGCGGTGGGGAGCCCGGTGTACTAAGAATGGGGGGGAGGAGTGGAGTACGGCGGGCAGGAGGAGGGACCAGGACCACCGGAAGTGGAAGCGGGACTAAGCCCACCAGCAGGAGAGAGGTGGTTCACCGGAAGTGGAGGCGGGACGAGACCCTCCCGCCGGAAGTGGGGTCGAGATCGCGCTCTTTCACCCATTCGGCCGTTCAGACCTTCCCCCCGGCCCAGGGCCCCCCCCCCGGCGTCCCCCTCCCCGGGCACCCCGACCACAGCCCGAGCCTGAGGCCTCGTTGTACCTGGAGCCTGGCTCCTGGCCCTCCGCCTCCTCCCCCTCCTCTCTGGGGCGGGTCTCGGGCCTCGGGCCCCGCGGCAGCAGAGTGGACACCAGGTACAGAGAGAAGGTACAGACGGCGAAGACCAGGAGCAGGCCGAGCAGGGGCCGCATGGCCGCGTGCCCACACCCGCTCCCGGCCCCGCGCACCTGCTGCCCCGGGCTGGAGCGCGGACCCTGACAGGAGGGGGCGGAGCGTAGCTGGCCCGAAGCTGGCCCCGCCCCCCCGGGGGCTACCCAGCGTCCGATCTGACGAATAGAAGAGCGGCACTGCCCACTGGGGCCGTCCCCGCTGCCTCTCTAGCCAATGAGAGACAAGGGAGGAGGGGAAGGGGCAAACTCCTGCCCTAACCTGACAAGGTTGGAGGTTGTTTTCCCCACCTCCCCCCCCCCGTCCGACCCAGAACTGACGAATAGGAAGAGCGACTGGGGGAGAAGGGGCCGAGCCATGCTCGGCTTTGACTCACTGCTCCTCACCTCACCCTTTGCTTCTGCCAACCAGTGGGCGCCAGCGCTCCCTAGACAGGCGGGGTCAATCCTAGCTCCGCCCCTGACCCCACCCCGGCCCGAGTGCGTGAATGGGGCTTATTGAGCCCCTGCCCCCCTGAGGGGGCGGGGCAGAGAGCTTGCAAGAGTGGCTGGTAGCTCTGGCCTTCCTTCTCCTAGCCCACCCAGGGGCTAGCAGGGAAACAGGCCCATAGGGGTCACACAACTAGTAGGCAAGCCAGGGCTTCTGACTCACAGCCCAATGGGCTGGGTTCAAATCCCGCCCCAGGGAGTCACAACCTGCCCAGGCCTCAGTTTCCTCATCTGTAAAACAAGGGGATTAAACTATATGGCCCAAGCATTCCAAGACCTCCATCTTCTGTTCCATGCCAGCTCCGTGTTTCTCCGCTCACTTTGCTCCTCTCCCCACTGTGTCCCGCTCCATTCCAAGGTCAAGCTACAGTGAGAGGATCGGACTGGACGGCCATCGAGGTCCCTTGCAGCTGTGATCCATGATGCTGTGCGCCACCTCATTTGCATGCTGATTTACATAAAAGTCCCCTTGACTTCAGTGGGCACCAATGCATGATGGGATCGGGTGTCAACTGGTCTATGCTTGGGCCATATAGTTTAATCCCCTTGTTTTACAGATGAGGAAACTGAGGCCTGGGCAGGTTGTGACTCCCTGGGGCGGGATTTGAACCCAGCCCACTGGGCTGTGAGTCAGAAGCCCTGGCTTGCCTACTAGTTGTGCAGTCCCTTAGAATATCTGAGAACCACGTGCTCAGCGTGTTCCATATAACAGCAGTGACAGTAACATCAGGCTAAGCCCCGCAGCCTCGCACCAGCGGCTCTGCCGCTGGGCCCCTGCCTCCCTTTGTCTGGAGTATTTACACTGTCTTGTGCGCGGCCTCTTGACCTGTTTATTTTTAAGTATTTTGTCACTTTCAATATAATTGGTTTCCTTTGTGCTGGTCAGCCCTCTCGCACTCTCTGTGACCCCATTTGAGGGTTTTCATAGCAAGCGATGTTGGAGTGGTTTTCTGTTTCCTTTTCCAGCTCATTTTACAGATGAGGAAATTGAGGCAAAGAGGGTGAAGTGACTTGCTGAGGGTCACACAGCTAGTAAGTGTCTGAGGCCAGATTTGAACTCAGGAAGATGAGTCTTCCTGACTCCAAGGCCAGTGCCTCTAGAGCATCTAGCATTTATGTATCTTATTTTATGCATATAAAAACGTGATACTTAGGAGTCAGTAGACTTCACTGTACTGCCAACAGGGTCTAGGACACAAGAAAAGACCTCTAATGGGATTATTCTGCAACCACATAGCTGCTTCTTCTTTTTTTTTTTTTTGGTTAGGCAATGGGGTTTAAGTGACTTGCCCAGGGTCACACAGCTAGTAAGTGTTATGTGTCTGAGGCTGGATTTGAACTCAGGTCCTCCTGAATCCAGGGCCAGTGCTCTATCCACTGCACCACCTAGCTGCCCCCCAACCACATAGCTTCTTCAGGTAGAGCCTTAAAAACCCTTCGGTTGGGTTTGTTCTGTTCTGTAAGAAGCACTATTTCTCCTCCAAATTTAGACCTGGTGAAGATTAAGTTTACCCAAACAAGCTCTATCCAGAGCGGTTATCTTTCCCCCACATCTTTTTAAAATTCTCTCCCCTTACTGATGAAAAGGTCTCTAGGGAAACTAATTTCTGGTTACCTTTTGTCTTTGTTGTTTTGGGGGTTGTTATTTTTTTTGCTTTTTGGTGAGGCAGTGAGGGTTAAGTGACTCACCCAGGGTCGCACAACTAGTAAGTATCTGAGGTTAGATTTGAACTCGGGTCCTCCTGACTCCAAGGCTGGGATGCTATCCACTGTAACACCTAGCTGCCCTCTCTGGCACCTTTTTTTGCTGTTGTTTAATCACCAGGTGGCCTGGATTGCCACACACCCAATCCTGTCAGTAAAAGGATCCCTTCCCTTTTTCGCCCTGGTAGTTTTTCCTCCATGGGAGGGGCATGGGGAGGGAGTGCTAAGAAGGCACCTGGTCTCCAGGGATCGCAGAAAGTCCATGACTTTCTATCCTTTCTTTCTATGGGGCACCACGTTGACTCATTCTCCAGGGCCGTGTGGATTTGTGAACTTACCCTGTCAGAAATCAGCTCTGAAATCCCCACCCACTGATGGCCCTGCCTCATGCCAGTGATCCCCGGCATAATGGAGTTGGCTCTCCATAGCTGTGAACAAACATGCTTGGACCTTGTATACAGGTGCTTGTATTCTTGATATAGAATCAGTGAGCAAGTAACTAGGATAAAACAAGGCATAATAAACCCATGCTAAGCAGCTGCAGCTCCTTTGGTGTCCTCTGGGCTCCCAGTGGGGGCCCACCCCCACCCGTGCCCCTCCAGGCAAGAATCCAGTTTTTGGTTAGTTTCCCATGGCAGGCAATGGAGCGTCCACTCAGTGCTAATCTCATCCTTCCAGCAAGGCCTCAGAATGAGAAGAGGTGGTAGAAATTCCAGAGGAACTCTGGAATCTGGATGGGTTGAGAAGACTCTACCTTATTACAAGGTTATTATCATGGTAAATGATAAATCATTTATGAATATAATTGTTATATTATCATCTGCTTCAAACCCCGCCCCCCCTCCTCCTTTTACAAAAGAGGAAAGAGAGGCTGGCTCATAGAGGTCATGGCTTGCCCTAAGTAGCAGGTGGCAGTGGCCAGATTCAACCCCTGTTCTTCCTGATCCAGGTCCATTCCCCCACTCACCACCCCACACTACCTCTCAGCAAGCTGCCATAGCCAGTGGTGTTGTGGGTCCTGGCCATCTCACTGGTGCAGGTTTAGTGGGCTGAGCCCTGGCAAGGAGAATCCGCTGCTGCTTTGCAGGTCTTTCTCTCTGACCCGCCCTCTGCCCTGGCTGTCTCTCAGCACTTCAGGGGCTGGGGAGAGAGCCAGTGGGAGAAGGGGGCTGGCTGCCTCTACTCCTTCCCTCTGCCCCTCTGCTGCTCCAGCCCCTCTGCTATCCCTTCCTTTTTCATCCACCACAGTGGAGCCCCAGAGACTCTCCCCATCTCTCCAACATATTCCCCATGCAAGAAGAGAACAAAGCCAGGGCACTGTTCTCTCTCTGAATACAGCATTCTCAAAGTGGGTTGGAGTGGGAATCTGGGGAAGGAGAATTATTAAAACGTATTCATTCATTCCACAAGCATTTATTAAGTACCCAGTTTGTGCCAGGTACTGAACTAGCCATGGGAGATACAAAAACAAACAGTCCCTGCCCTCCAAAAGCTTACACTTTGTTGGGCCATTTAGAATAAATAAGACATTCACGCATAACACATACAACATACGTGAAGAGGCATTTTAGCTTCATATCTCAAATCCCTTCACAGACCTGAGTCCTTCTCTTTCCCAGGATCCCCAAGAGATAGATTATCACATCAGCACAGGCAGAAATGGAGGAAGAGATAGGCCCATAGTGAAAGCCACAGGCAAGGGAGAGCAAAGTTGCGCCTCCTGTCCACAGCCCCCTGGCCACTTAAATGCTAGGGAAAATGTCCTGGATGGTCCCTGGATCTTGGGACCAAGCGTAGGAAGCTAAGGTGCCAGCCCCAGCAAATACTGTCCCCTCCCCGAAAAACGCCCCCAATCTGCGTTCACTCTCCAGAATTATTTGACGGTCCTAAAACCACGTGGCATTCTGTGATACAGTTCAAGACATCCGCAGAGATGTATGTGCACTCTGGTCTGTTCTCTGCTTGATAGCAAAGCGACAGCTTCTGTGAGCTAGCAAAGGATGGGCTGAAAGGCTGTTTCCTTGTTTTCTGTCAGGACGAGATCATATCTGCACATCTGTGGCCTGAGAAAAGGAAAGCACGGCTCCCTCAATCAACAAGCATTTTTTTTTGACTGAACGACATTTATTTTGTCACAATAGATACCAGGGAGGTAGCACGGTATAGCGGAAACAGCACTAAACTTGCACCGTGGGACCTGAGTTTGAATCTTGGCTTTGCTATTTACTAGCTGTGTGTCCTTCAACAAGCATTTTTTTTTGCCTCTTTTTTTTTTTTTGGTGAGGCAATCAGGGTTACATGACTTGCCCAGGGTCACACAGCTAGTAAGTGTCATGTGTCTGAGGCCAGATTTGAACTCAGGTCCTCCTGACTCCAAGGCTGGAGCTCCATCCACTGTGCCACCTAGATGCCCCCCAAAAAGCATTTATTAAGCCTTTCCTAAGTGCCCAGCATCTGGCCAGGCACTGAAGCTATATGGACAAAAATGAGAACAGCCCTGCCCTCAAGCAGCTTCCATTCTGTTGGGGAGACTTAACACCATAAGTCCAGGATATACATAAGAACAACCTTTGCTTGATAAATAAGATAAAGACTAGCAAGAAACAGAAAGGTAAAGCGGGGCGGGGGGGGGCAAAGCTGTTCCCCAAGAACATCAGCTAATGTAGGGTCAGGGTTCAGGCCGGATGAAGACAGCAGTGCTTGGGGCCAAGTTCTTTTTTCTGCAGGTACTTTGTCAGAAGAATCCTCGTCTAGGCTGGCGGTTACACCAGGTTGGTCAATCGTTTTGTTCCTATCTAGAAGGCAGTGTGGTGCAGCGGATAGAGCTGGCCTTGGGGCCAGAAAGACCTGGCATATACTTTAGGCTCTCAGAGTTCCAGGCAACGAGCATTTATTGAGCTCCTTCTGTGTGCCAGGCACAGTGCAAAGTCTCCAAGCAGAGACAGTGCTGGCCTGCACTGGTAGAGGGCTGGGAGTTCCCTACACCAGTGAAATCATAGTCTGGTCCCTATCCCTTGCATTATCTTATTTGAGCCCCACAGTAATCCTGAGAGGAGTAACATGATCTCCATTTTACATCAGGCTCGGATTAGTGAAAAACCCTTTCAAGGACAGCATCTCATTTTAGCGTCCCGGAAACCTCATGAGGGAGGTGCTCCAGGTATTATTTTTATTCCCATTTTCCAGATGAGTAGACTGAGGCTGGGAGGGTGAGCGACACAGTCATCAAGGTCCTAACTCCAGGTCCAGCTCTGCCCACTGGGTCCTGCTTTGGCCAAAGGATTCAGGAGGTGATTTCACTCCCCTCCTTGTCTTGTCACAGATGCTCCTTACGATGACATTACCCTTTGTTTTGACCACCTCAAAGACCCTGCCAAAAATCAGGGCAGATCTCGATGGTATCAGCACCACACTCTGCCTGACTGACAAAGTGCCTGGATTTTCTTCCTACCTGCCTGAAAAAAAAGTGATTCCTTTGTCTCCAGAATAAAAAGAAAAGCGGCCGCTCAAAACAAACTGTCCAAGTCTGCAGTTAGGACGTCTGTGGAATGAGCAGAGGGAGCCCCTAGCCTAGAGAGGATTTCAGGAGTTATTGTCAATCATGGATGATTGCCAATGATCATTGTTATTTTTGCTCCAGAACCGTGACTTCGTCCATGTAGGGAATTTCCGGTTAGGGAAACTTCCTGCATTGATCTCAACTCATTTGGAGCGGATGTCCTCAGAGAAGTTAAGTAGGTCGTCCAGAGTCACAGAGCTAGCAGGTGTCAGAGGCAGGACCTGAACCCAGGGCTCCCCAACCCAATGGCTAGGCCTCTGGCTCCTATATCACACTGCCTCTCCCAGTAGAATTAAGACGAAAAGAAAATAATTTTCTTGGCTTTCTATCAACTGAAAATGCAAGATATGATGAGAAGAAGCCTAAGGAAGGAGGTAAGTGCAAAAGCGTCAAGACTGAAAAGGGTCCCAGAAGGAAAGCAGTTGCCCAGGACATTTGGCCCCCAAATTTCCAGCCTCCCTCCTCTGTGCTCCCTCTTCCCAACCTAACACAAACTCCCCTCATGTCTGCCTCTCCTTGCTATTTGGTGGATTACCAAAGTCATAAATTGTTCTTCAAATGCAGTCCACCATTTTAGCTGGCTGGATGCAAGATAGGATGGAGAGAATGCTAATAGCTCACATTTATATAGCACTTTACATCGGTTATGGCATTTGATTCTCACAACAGCCTTCCAAAAGAAGACATGATGCTATCTAGAAGGTAAGCTCTTTGAGGGCAGGCATTGTTCATTCATTATATGTGTGTCCCCAGGGTTATGTATCTTGAGACAAGGGACACACACTTCTTTCCCAGAATCCCCTACATGGGGAGGGATTTCTATGCTGACCAGCACATGCTCATCTCCAGCATCCTATCTCTTTGGCAACCCAAAGGTATGTTACACCTATGATATCTCTTCCAGCTCTAAAATGATAATACTGCAAAGACCTGTAGAAGATAACTGGCCCAACCCATTCTACATATGAGGAAACTGAGAGCCAGAATGGAGATGTAAATTCACCTAGGTCCTAATACACACAGGCACAGCCAGAATACAACCCCCATCAGGGGGATCAGGCAAACATCAGCAGCCAGTTCGCCTTAACATGCTGTTCTAAATTGTAAGCAACATCCTCGCAAACTAAGGGGGTGCAGCTACCTAGACAGTCCTTGGCTCCATTATTAAACTCTGTGAGCACTTGGACCTGCCATGTTCTGTTCTGAGACCGTTGGTCCTCCCCAGGCTTTTCAGTCCCTTGCTTTGGAGCTCTCCCTCTGGCCCACGAGCTGATGGAGCTCTGCCGGAAGAGTCACTGGACCCATTCTAACCCTCATGTGGGAAGACCCAGTGGGCACACCGCGGGCAAAAACTGCTTACTTCTCAGGGTGCGTGATCGGTCTCAGCTTCATCCAGATGATCCTGAGTTTGTACTTGGACCAGATCACAGGCCCAGTAGAGAACACCAAAGAGATGCCCTTCACCTGGTCAACATCCTGAGGAAACCTGGCAAGGAGGCTCACTTGCTGAAATTTCTGAAATGTGGCAGGTTCGCTATAAGAGAGAGATATGGACTTTAAAAAGAGACATCTTCCCATTAAATAAACCAACCTCAAGGAATATGAGGATAGCGACGTATCACATACATGTACCTCCATACCCATGTGTCCTGTCTGTGTGCCTCTGAGATTTGGAGCTGGAAGGGGTGTTAATGGCCGACCAGTCCAAGCCGCTCATTTGTACAGAGAAGGCCACTGAGGATCCCAGGGAGATGCCCAGTGTCCCAGAGCAGAAGAGGGGGAAGCGAACCTAGGCTCTTGGATTCTAGAAGTAGTTTGGGGAGAAGGCTCTAAGCCTATGGCCCTGTGATCATAGAACATAAGCTGCTTGACAGCAGGGACAGCTGCAGTTTTGGCCATGCTTCCCTGTGCCTGCCAAAATGTCTGGCATGAAAAAGGCACTTAACCAATTGATCAGTCAACAACGAAGCGTGCATTGAAGCACTGTGCTAGGCACTGGGGACACAAGGACAAACATGAAGCTGTTTCTGTCCTCAAAGATCTCAGAGCTGATTGGAAGAATTATTCAGATTAATGTTATTCAGTCATGTCCAACTCTTCGTGACCCCATTTGGGGTTTTCTTGGCAAAGATACTGGACCGGTTTGCCATTTCCTTCTCCAGCTCCTTTTACAGATGAGGAAACTGAGGCAGACAGGGTGAAGTGACTTGCCCAGGGTCACACAGCCAATAAGTGTCTGAGGCTGAATCTGAACTCATGAAAGGGAGTCTTCCTGAATCCAGGCCCAGCACTTTATTCACTGCACCATCGAGCTGCCTAGCTCTATCCACTACACTATGTCAAATCTCATGAGTCTCAAAATGGGTCAAGTTATATAAAAACTAAAGGGACGTGTCCCTGAGGCAAAGGGGGAGAGGACAATGGTATTTCTTTCTGCCTGGTGATCCTCTAGGCTCTGCAAGAAGATGCTCTCTGAGTGAAAGAAGAGAGAAGGATGGAGGGTAGCAATGGGGGAAAATAATGACTAGAAAAGAGGCCTAGAAATACTGGCAGAGGTCGTAGGACCATGGATCTGGAACAGGAAGAGACTTTGGAGGTCAGTGAATCCAAGCCTCTCTCTAGATGAGGAAGCCAAGGCCCAGAAAAGGGACATAATTGGCTCAAGGTGCCAGAGCCAGGATTTGAACCCAGGTCCTCTGACTCCAAATCCAGGGCTCCTTCCACTGACAGACCCTGGCCTGAAGATAGGAAAGATGGAGAAATTAAGGACAGGCATAGTTACTATCCAAGCGAGTACCAGAAAACTGGGGCAGAACCACCCAGAAGGTGGCATGGCCGCTCCTCAGCCGACAAGGTTCTGTCCATCCAACCAGAGCATGGAATTCGAAGAGGAGAGATTGGAGGGGGTCTCAGAGATCACTGAGTCCAAGTCCCTCACCCTTCAGAAGAGGACTGCCTGTAACATCTAATCGAAGACTTCTAAGGACCCAAAGACACTCAGATTTCTACAGCTAACCCCTCTCCGCCAACAGTCGCCTGCCAGTTACTAACGACTGGCTACCTGGGTGAGGGTTAATGTGCCATGTGACTGCAGAGAGCAAGGGCACAGGGCAATGGAGGGCAAGCTAGAGGTGAGAGTGCAGGAGGCAGCCTCCATCAGCCACCTTCTTCCTTCCTACAGCCAGAGGTGCCACTCACCAGCCCCTTCACTGCAGCAGGAGAGAGCTGCGATCACCCAAGGAACCAGAGCAGAGCCTTCCCAACATTTATGGAGAGAGTAAAAAATGGTGAACAGATGAATTTGACAAGCCACTGTTCGCATCCCTTAATGAGAGAGCCAAACACTTCCACACTCACATACATACACTCACACATGTGCACACGTGTGCATGCACACACACGTGCATGAGCTATGGACAACATCCAATTTAACCCCAACAACTTACTGATTGATTTTGGACTCTGTTGTATTTCCAGCCTGATCTGTTAACTTAATCGTAATGTAACCTCTTCTTATGTTCTTGTTCCAAGTCATGATGTCCACAAAGTAGTGCTGAACTGCAAGGAGGCAGGGTCTGCAGTCAGAATCGGGCCAGCTTTATTTTGTATCCACTCCAAGGGTGGAGGAAGGAAGCCTTCATCTCCCTAATGACCTTTCCTTTCTCCTCTCACACTCTTTAGATCCTGCCTAAGAATCCTGAGGAGAGACAGAGGACCTCCTTACATGGGGGCCAAGGTCCCTAGACCTCGTGGGTTTGCACCTGAGTTTGTCCTGTGTTCTTTTACGTTCTATGTCTGATGCTCACTGAGTCTGAGTACTTATAGAGAAGAGCGGGGGTCCTTTGACATCAGGGTTGCACTGGGGTCATAGCTCCCCTCTTCTCCAACACTCCTCCCGCCATTATGCATGTAGGGGCCACATCTTCCTTATCTTGAATCTTAGTTCAATCCAACAAGCCTTTATTAAGTGCCAACTATGTTCCCAGAACTGTGCTAGGCACAGCAGATACAAAGACAAAAATGAAATAGCCTTTGTTCTCTAAGGGCTTACATCTAACTAGATGAAAATGACATATTTAGAGAAGTCAATATAAATTATATTCAAACACGTTTTGGGGGCAGGAGGAGTGCTAACCACTGAAATGAATCAAGCAAGAACGTCGTAATACTTCTGCTGAGCCTTGAATGGATCCAAGGAGTCCAAGATGTGGATGTGGGGAGGGGGAATCTTCCAGGCAAGGGGCCCAGCCTGTCCAAAGGCATGGAGGTGGGAGACATGTCAAGTATAGGTAATAAATAAGAAGTGGTCCATGGGAGTATGTAGGGGTAGTACTGGGAAAGGTAGACTGCAGCCACATCATGAAGGGTGTTCGATCTCCTCCAGCACCTAGGACAGTGCTCTGCACAGGATTATGGGACCAGAGCCCGAAGACACCTCAGAGGCCATTGAGCCCCATCTTCTCATTTTATAGACCTCATGAATCTGTGATCTCATCGGTGCAGGTCTTCCCCTCAGTAACGCAGAGCTCAGCCCCTCTTTGCCTCAACAGGTAGTCTTCATGAGTACAAGTAGCTGGAAAAAGCCATCCCCTGCTGGCCCACTGGCTGGCCTTCAGGTGACAGATACACTGGCTATTGCCAGATCCAGCTTGGGAGGAACTGGCAGGATTTGTTCTCTTCCAGTAAAGCCTTTGAGAAGGTAGGACGGCCTTCCCACAACAAGGCATCATTGCTTTGAGAAAAGACTCAAAGAGAGACTGAACCCATTAGCCAGCTGGCTGGTGGATAGATGGTGGATGGGTAGAAGGATGGATGAATTCAACCCTCAACTGACCCCACTTCACCTTCCCTTCTCATCTCTGCTCATGGATGGCACAGTTTCTTCCACGTGTTTCATCAGCATGAGAACAGCAGTTGCCTGTGCCATCCCCCTAGATGTTGAGCACTGCTTCTTCATCATGTGACTTACCCCCCTCCCACTCCTTTGCAGAGGTGGAAGGTGTACAGGTGTGGAACATTGACTATGTTGTCTGACTTTTTCCAACGTATTTCTTTCTTCACCTTAAAATAATATTCTTTGTTATATGATATAACTCTCTGGGATGGGAGAGAGGGATGGATACAGGGAGAAATCTGTTTTGTAAGAACAAAACAGAACAATGAAAATGGATTTAAGATTTTTTTCCTGTCTGATACTAGGAAGGGAATCATTTTACCTTCTAGATGGAGGTAGCATGGCTTTGTGCTCTAATATCATGAATCCCATGTCACTTTAGGATATGCCAATACAGCATCCTGAGAATATAGGGCTGAATTTCACAACTCCTGTGCCAGGGGATAGCCTACCAAGTACCAATTTGTGGCTCCTGTTCTAATGCACCGACTTCAATGATTCAAGAAAACCTGTTTTCTCTCAATTGTCTTTTTTCAAAAAACAGAAGGTGGCAGAGAGAGGAGTCTCAATAATTATAACACAGAATCTGGGAAGCAACAGGGGGATGGAAGGTAGGTAAAGGCGGAGTTGAAGGCATGGCTGTCTTCCAGGCAGGCAGTTTGTGGGCCGATATCATTGGAAGCCTGGGGACTCCACAGTCAGAGCCTTGGGATTCTGGGTCAGGAGCCATGTGACACCTGGGTCCTGAAGTAGGGAACGAGGAGATCACAGATTCAGAACTGGAAAGGGCCTTGAAATTATTGTCATTCAACCCCTGCATTTTTAGATGAGTAGAGTGAAGCCCAGATGAGGGGTTAGTCACTCCCAGTCACATGAGTAGAATGCCCAGGTTCTGAAGGTGGATCACCTTCTCCAGCAGGCCTTTCCCAGTCTCCCTAGGGCTCAGTACCTTGAAATGATTTTGTACTTACTCTCTATATAGTCCATGCATTCTTCTTTGTGTCTATGCAGTTTCCTCCAATAGAATATATACTCCTTGAGGGCAGGGATGATTTCATTTTTGTCTTTATATCTCTGGCACCTAGTATCTTGCATTCAGTAAGCAAGTGCTTACTTAATTAATTAATGCTTGCTGAATTGAAATGAATTACAGGGCGTGGTTGTCATGGAGTTTGCAGAACCCAAAGCCTAAGACTGAGGCCCAAGTTTTTGTTGACTCATTTCCAAGTCCTCAGTGGTCAACCTGTCCCCTCATTGACCTTAGCTAACTTCACAACCCACCATCAGATAACTAGATCTCAAACATGCTTTTGGAGGGACATTTGGGGGAAAAGGAAAGAACGCTGGGCACTCACTGCAGAATGGCTTTTCAGAAGTTGTATCAAAAAAAGCTTTTGTCACAGGAGGGTCCTTTAGCATTGAGTAGTTTTTCCATTGATCAGCATAGTAACCTATGAAGGCAATAGGAAACAGTGAATATAACCTGATTGTAAGGGCAGCTAGGTGGCACAGTGGATAGAGTACCAGGCCTGGAATCAGGAAGACCTGAGTTCAAATCTAGCCTCAGACATTTACTAGCTGTGTAACCCCTGTTTGCCTCAGTTTTCTCATCTGTAAAATGAGCTGGAAGGGGAAATGGCAACCCTCTCTAGTATCTTTGGCAAGAAAACCCCCAAAAGGGGTCAAGAAGAGTCAGATACAACTGAAATGACTACATAATAGACATGATTGTACATCTTCAATTCTTCCTGGAGATCTGTGACTTAGTGGTTGGGGCTCTCCCTTCACTGAAGCAGATTGTGACCTCTCTATGCCTTCATCAATAGTCTTTTAGTCAATCAATAATCATTTATTAAGCACCTATGATGTATGAGGAAGTCCTCGAGAATGTCTACAGCTAAAAAGAATCATTCCCCCTGCGGGTGAGCTGGGAATGAGCTAGAGCAAACTTAGAGAGGCTGGTCTTTGAGAACTAGGTGACACTGTCATGCAAAAGCAAAAAGAAGTTATGAAGGGCACGAACATGTATTTGGCACCAAATGTTACAATGACCCCAGATGTGGAAATGGACACTTTGGGCTTATTTGTCCTCCACACTGGCCCCAAGGAGCAGGAGGCCCCAAAGGGGCTGGCTAAGAAGTGTGCCCTGATCTCTAACTCAGCAGTGTTACATCTCATAAGTTTGGAGCCAGAAAGGACCTGAGAAGAGATCATTTAGTCTAAGCCTTTCATTTTATAAACAAGGAAAGTAGAGAAGTTAAAGCCCAAAAGCAAAATTTTAATCCAACTCCTCTAACTCCAAATCCAAGCCTCTTGGCCCTACAACACATGGGTACAAATCATAGGATTATTTAATTAGAGCTGGAAGGGACTTCAGAAGGCATCAAATCCAACCTCCTCATTTTACAGATGAGGAAACTGAGGCCCAGAGAGACTGAGACACTTGTACAAGGTCACAAAGAATTCCCAAGAAAAAGAACGACCGTATTTCCCATAATTGTAACTTCTAACAGTGAGGATATGAGTACATAGGACCACTTCGGGGGCAGGCAGCTTCATCCAGACCTCCCTGTGTCTGTCTGGTTAAGGAACTCAACCTGGAGTCAAGGAGACCTGGGTTCAAATCCCACTGCAAATACTATCTGTGTGACCCTGGACAAGTCACTAACCTCCATGTTTCAGTTTCTGCATCCATAAACTGAGGGGGTTGGGCTCGAGAGCCTCTATAGCTTTAAATCGGTGACCTGATAAACCACAATTTATTTTTTCACTAAGTTTTCTCTCCTATAGGAAGAATGAATTGGAGGTCATACTCCCTTCTGAAGAGCAAAAAGTAGGTAGGTGGTGTTGAGTGTCAGGGGGCCAACTCAAACTATACTGATTTTTATGCTCAAATTATGTATTATCATAACACTTGTAGGAGGCAGTGTGGTAGAGTAGGAAGCATACTGATCCTGGAATAAGAATGCTGTCACTGTAGGAGAGGCACAAACACCTAAGTACAATCAGGTACCTATGTCACTAATCTTCATATTCTCAAAAATCACTGTTTGATCCAACCTGAGCTTGAGGAGAACATGTCATACTGATATTTTCTAGATTCCTCTGAGACCCAACCATAGCTCCAAGACCTCCTAGCAAACTCCACCAGGTGTTAAAACAACCCAGTAGATTTGACTGTGCTGCAGGGTCTAAGAGTCCTAGTTGCCACAGGCTAGCAGGTACTCATCATTTTTGAAACCAAGAAGTAGACTCTGTCTTTTGTATGAAATGTTTTCCAAGCCTCGTTCAAGGTACCCTTTGGGAAAGGAAAATGGGTGTCCAGACCTTCATCACTAACACAAGAGAGAAAAGTGCTTACCCAGGACTGGACACGGCATTAATTGGTCATCTCCACAGCTGATGCATTTGCCATTCAGGTAATCTCGGTAGGACTCACAAGGGTAGGCAATGATGTCACAGTCTTTTTTCAGAGAGGATAGGTACAGGAAAACAGACCTCTGGTGGTCACATTTGAAATACTCAAATCCTTCATTATAAATAAAAGGTTAGGGTTATGTTTAAGTACGGACATTCACTTTACAAGCAGGGGATATTGTCGCAGTTGGCACACGTTTAACAGGGCAGGGCCCTCTACAGATGACTCACAGCTTCTTCTCTATGTCATGGCAAAGGAAGGAAAATATGAGGGAATAGTCTGGAGAGATTTGGTGGGGTACGTTACTCAACCCAAGAGAGCCAAGGATGAGTTCATGGTAGAAGGAGGGCTAGATGGGACCTTAACAGCCATCAAATCCAACCCCTCATTTTATAGATGAGGAAACCGAGGGACAGAAAGATCCAATGACTTGTCCAGACTCAGGCAGCTAGTAATTGTCTGAGGTAGGATTTGAACCCAGGTTTTTCTGACTCCAAGAAAGGTCTTCCTGATTCTGGGTGCCGTACACTATTCACCATGTCATGCTGTCTCTCCATAGTCTGAGCCAGAGACTTGATTACAGTGGGGTGACCGGTGCTTTGCCATAAGATGCCAAAGTTGAGAGAGTCGAGATTCAGCAAAGCAACATAACTTAGCACCTAACTGGCAAGAATAATTAAAGTAGCTACCAGACACTGGTCTAGCTCCAGCTCTACTGGCCATGCCTTAGGTGAGCACTTCCCTCTCTTGGTCAATCCTGCTTCCCCCAAGGGAGAGCCTCTCCAGCAGTGACCTTGTAGCATCATGGGTCTCTACCTCCATGACGAGGTAGATGGAAGGACCTAAGGGTTCTGCCAGAGGGCAGATGACAAAGCCCAGGGATCCCTAGGGGGCACTGGCACATCAGATGGCAATGCCTGGGAAGTCAAAGGCCATAGAGACAGGACACACAGTAAAGCCTAGAGGTCTAGAGGACTCAATGACAGGGAAAAGGGCAAGGTGAACAACTGACAAGATTTGGTAACTGAGTGGCTACGTGGGGTGAGGGAGAGCAGAATTGTGGACGACTCTGACATTGTAAATACAGACGACTGGAATGATGGAGGTGCCCTTGACAGAAGGAGGGAAGTTTGGAAAAGGAGAGGATTTGGGGGCAAAGATAAGGAATGCAGATATGGACATGGTGAGTATGACACACCTGTGGGAGTGGGGCCAGCTTCCAAATGTCCGGTGGGCCGTAGGTAAAGTAGAATTCCAAGAGAAAAGAAGTCCAGGAGCAGCTAGGTGGCGCAATGGAGAGAGCACCAGCCCTGGATTCAGGAAGGCCTGAGCTCAAATCTGGCCTCAGACACATAACACTTACTAGCTGTGTGATCCTGGGCAAGTCAGTTAACCCCATGGCCTAAAACAACAACAAAAAGAGAGAGAGAGAGAGAGAGAGAGAGAGAGAGAGAGAGAGAGAGAGAAAGTCCAGGGTTCTGCATACCAATGATAACTAAACCTGTTGGAGGTGAAGAGGTCAACAAGAAAGAGAATGTAAGAAGAGGAGAGAGAAGACAGAGCTTTTCTCTCGGGGGGGTGTATGTATGCCCACAGTTAGCAGAGGTGATGTAGCTAATGATCCAGCCATGGAAACCAAGAGGGCGCAGTCAGAGATGCAGGAGGAGAGCTAAGAGATCAGCATCACTAAAATCCAGAGAAGAGAGGGAGAACACAAGGGAAGAGGCTGGTCATGGGTGCTGGATGAAGAGGTCAAGAAGACAAGGACTAAGACAAGGCCATTGGATTTAGCAATTAAGGAACTGTGGACACCTTTGCAAAGAGCAAAAGTTTCCATCTGTCTTGATGGAATGAGTGCCCATGTCAATGAGATCACAAAATTTCTTAGTTATAAAAGGTTGGCCCGACTGGCCATTTGACACTCTATGTCATATCCTGTTTATCTCTGTATATGTCATATTCCCCACCCCTTAAATGAGAAGCTCCTTCAGGGCAGGAACCGTGTAGATTTTTATCCGAAAAACTCTGGCAGTGGTGCCAGTCAACAGAAGCGAGTACAAGCCCCCTCCCTGCCTGCTGAGTCAATGGGAGCCAGAGAGGGAGAAGGAGGGAAGGTTTAGGTAAGGTCAGTCAGGAGGTGAGAAAAACCCAAGGATAAAGTAAAATCTGCTGATGATAGAACAGTAATTCCTGTAATGGGATAACAGAGTACAGACCAGGTTCACATTTTGTTCAGTGATATTAATAAGATCAACTACCCAAAGGTGCCTTCTAATGTAATGTTTATGATCATTTTCTAGTTGCAAAGCATTTGTACTTACCACTAAATATTGTTTGGGGACAACCAGGTTGATCCAGTCCTCCATTTGGGTAGAAATCGATATTTCCTAATGATTCTTTGAAGCCCAGGACTAAAAAATAATAATAATAATAATCACCAAAATACATTGGGTTTCTAGGCTCCCTTTAACTTATTCAAGCTTTTAAACATGTTATTTTATCTTCGGAATAAGGGGCAGGCAGGACAGTTATTAGAATGGGTATTTCTATTAGGTATTAACATTCCAATTTTTCAGATAACAAAACTGAAGCTCAGATTTGCTCAATGACTTCTCCCAGATCACATACACGCACATAGCAAACTTAAAAGTTACTCATTCCCCCCACCTGACATTTATTGATATGTCTGGTAACTGCTTGCATTTCTTCAAATTTGAAAAATCCTCCAATATTCCACAAGACATTTGATTAAAAATAGCCTACAAGCTAGGAGTGAAGAGAAGAAATGTTCCAGAACCTTGTCAGAAGATATGGGTTATGGTCCCAATCCTGACTTTGCGCTCTCTCTCTCTCTTTCTGGACCTCAGTTTTCCTATCTGTAAAACGAAGGGGTCAGACTAGATCGGGAATTCTCAACCTGGGGTTTGTGAACTTGTTCTTAAAAATATTTCAACAACTGTATTTCAATAGAATTGGTTTCCTTTGTAATGTGATGCATTTTATTTTATATATTTAAACACGCTGTTTTGAGAAGGGCTCCTGAACCTTCTCTAGCTTTCCAAAAATAGTCCAGGACACAAAAATGGTTCTGAAGCCTTCAGATGGTTGCTAAGGTCTTTTCACCTCTTACATTCTATGGGTCCCTGAATACACGCTTCCGCGACATAACATAACTGAAAAGAAATAACCAGACAGTGAAGGAACCAAGTCCAGCTTTGACGTGTGATAGATACATCCGTCTCTACTACAGCAAAACATGTCAATCTCGGTTTGGGTTTATTAGTTATTTTAAGAGACACACGTCAGTCGTGGAAAGGCCATCCTCTTTGGGGTTTAACGAAAGCGCTCAGTTAATGAACTGAGTGGCCTGATGTTTCTCTCAAAGACCCTTCCAGGCGTAACTCCAGGAGCCTGGGATCACGTCATTTACAATATTGTAAGTCGCCCAAGATTTAGGCCGGGTCCCCCCAAGCTGCGCACGCATCTGGACATTGCATCGATTCCCTCCCGGTCTTTCCCTTCCTGAGGGTTCCAGGGTCGGAGATAAACAGAGCCAAAAGCTAAGGCAGTACGTACGGTCAGTATCAGAATGGATGACATCAACAAACTGGGCGTCTGTGTGATCCAGCCGCTCATTGCGGGGTTTCCCACTGAAAAGGGGTCCTGCAGGATCCAGACCTGGAATACAGTAAGAGGGACTTGGGCAGAAATGCCTGTTTAGGGCTGCTTTGGGGACTGGCTTTCTCAGTCCAATCAAGCATCCTCATTCTGTCTCTGTTTGAGGGTGACTCAGAGATCATCTCGGAATAGTCTACGGCATGGCTCACAGAGTAGGTGGGTGCTTTGGAGAAATGGCCCAAAGTCCTTTCTGCCCAAAGTAGAAGAATCGTCAGAGGATCTGAGATTTAGAGCTGGAAGAGATCAGAGGAACCCAAACTTTGCTCCAAACCTGGAGGGGATCTTGGTGCTTATCTAAGCCAAATCCCTTTCTTTTCTTTTTAACTTACGAAATAAAACAAGTATTTCCATAACATAGTACAATAAAAAAAACATGATTGCACATGAAACTGCAAATCTATTATGTACAACTTGCTATTCCTTTCAAATACATAACAAAATTATCATGTAATTTTCTTTTTTTTCCTTTTTTTCTTCCATCCCTCCCCCCCCCCATGGCTACCATTAGACACAAATAGGTACATATGTGTATATATTTATATGTGTATATGTATGTGCGTATGTGTGTGTACATACCACACATATATGAATAATTGTCCTATACATACTTCTATTTATCAGTTTTTTCTCTGGATGCAGATAGCAACTTACTACATATGTTCTTCATAGTTAATTTGGGGATTTGTAAGAGTCAAAATAACTTATTTGCTCAAAGTCGTTCTTAAAACAATGTTGCTGTTAGGGTATACAATGTTCTCTTGGTTCTGCTTGTTTCACTCTTCATTTTTTTTTTGTGCAACTCTTTCTAAAATCATTGAGCTCATCACTTCTTTTTCTCCCCCACTTAACACAGTTTATTTTTTCCAATTACATGTTTTCAACATTCATTTTTATAAGATGTTGAGTTCCACAGCTCTTCATTTCTTATAACCCAGTAGTATTCCATCACAATCATATACTACAACTTGTTCAGCCAATACCCAATTGATGGGCATCCCTGCAATTTCTAGTTCTTTGCCTCCAATGGGTTCTTTTCCTTTTTCCCTAATCATCTTTGGAAACAGACCAAGTAGTGGTATTGTTGGATCAAAAGGTATAGGTAGTTTAATAACTCTTGGGGCATAATTCTAGAAAGCTCTCCAAAATAGTTGGATCAGTTCACAATTCCACTAACAATGAATTAGTGTCCCAATTTTTCCACATCCCTTACGACATTTGTCACATTCCTCTTTTATCATTTTAGCCAATCTGATAGGCATAAAATGATATCAAGTTTGTTTTAGTTTGCATTTCTCTAATCAATAATGATTTAGAGCATTTTTTCATATGACTATAAATTGTCTTGATTTATTCATTGAAAAACTGCCTGTTCATATCCTTTGACCATTTACCAATTGGAGAATTACTTTGTTCTTCTAGATTTGACAAGGTTCTTTATATATTTTAGATATGAGACCTTTATCTGATAAATTGTCTGTGAAAATTTCCCCCCCAATTTTCTGCTTTCCTTCTGGTCTTGGCTACGTTTCTTTTATTTGTACAAAAACTTTTTCATTTAATGTGATCAAAATTATCCACTTTATATCTAATTTTGCTCTTTCTTTTGTTTATTCATATATTATTCATCTATCCATAAGTCTGATAAGTAACATGTTCCATGTTCTTCTAATTTTCTTGTAAAAATCTCTCTTTATATCTATGTCATGTATCCATTTTGACCTTATCTTGGTAAATAGTATAAGATATTGGTCTATGCCCAGTTTCTGCCATACTGCTTTTCACTTTTCCCAACAATTTTTGCCAAATAATAAATTGTTATCCCAAAAGCTTAAATCTTTATACTTGTCACATACAAGGTTATTATGTTTATTTGCTGCTGTAAATTGTATGTCTACTCTCTTCCATTGATCTATGTTTCTATTTCTTAGTCAATATCAGATGGTTTTGATAATCACTGCCTTCTAATATAGTTTAAGATCTGGTACTGCTAAACCTCCTTCCTTTACATTTTTTTTATTATTTCCTTTGATCTTCTTGACTTTTTTAAAAAGTGAATTTTGTTATTATTTTTTCTAATTCAATAACAAAAAATTTTTTTGGTAATTTAATTGGGATGACATTGGATATATAAATTAGTTTGCTTAAAATTGTCATTTTTATCATATTGGCCCTGCCTACCCATGAACAATTAATATTTCTCCAATTATTTAAAAACCTCTTATTTCTATAAGTAGGGAAACTGAGGCCCAGAGAGGAGAGGTGATTTGTCCAAGGTCACAGCAAATAAGTAGCAAAGCCATATATAGAACCTCACTCCTCTTCTTCCAATTCCTGCCTTCTCTCCATGGCCCCCCACCACAGTAGAAAGAGCATTGGATCACGGAGGTAGGGTGGTGGGATAGATATTAGGCTAGACTTAGAAGCTGTAAGGCCTGGATTCAAATCTGATCTCTGGCATTTTCTTTTTTTTTTTCTTTTTCTTTTTCTTTTGTTTAGGCAATTGGGGTTAAGTGACTTGTCCAGAGTCACACAGCTAGTGAGTGTTATGTGTCTGAGGCCGGATTTGAACTCAGGTCCTCCTGACTCCAGGGCCAGTGCTCTATCCACTGTACCACCTAGCTGCCCCTCTGACATATTCTACTTAAATGATGATCACCCCCCTAAACCTCTGTTTACACGTATCTAAAATGATCCTAATGACACCTCTAGGATCTGTCTCATGGTGGCATTGTGAGAACCAGATGAGGCCTGCTGCTTTATCAACCTTCTAGTGCCTTACAAATGTGAGTTGTAAATACACAAACTCCCAAATCACTTTCCAGGGGCTGCTGAATTGAACACTGCATTTTGGATTGGGCTTCCTTCTATAAGGAAATTGGCCAGTTCCAGGAGGGTCTACCCTGGAGAGGCTTTTTTGTATTTTCTTTCTTTTTTTATTTAGTATTTTATTTTCCCCACTTACGTGTAAAAAAAAATGTATAACATTTGTTTTTAAAACTTTGAGTTCCAGGAGTACTATTGTGCTGTAAGAAATAATGAGCAGGCAGATTCCAGAAAAATCTGGAAAGATTTATGTGAATTGATGCTAAGTGAAGCGAGCAGAACCAGGAGAACATTGTACACAGTAACAGCCACGTTGTCCAACAACTGACTTCAGTTGACTTGGCTCTTCTCAGCAATGCAAGGATCTAAAACAACTCCAAAAGACTCACGATAGAAAATGCTTCCACACCCAGAGAACAAGCTGTGGAGTCTGAATGCAGATCGAAGCAGACTATTTGATCTCTCTTTTTCTTTTGTTGTTTTGTGGTTCTTCACATTGGTTCTAATACTTCTTTACAACATGACTAATGTGAAAATATGTTTTATAGGAATGTATATGCAGAGCCTATATCAGATTGCACACTGTCTTGGAGAGGAGGAAGGGGGGAAAGGGGAGAAAACTGAAGACTCAAAACACTTGTGGAAGTGAATGTTGAAAAATAAAAATAAAGTTTAAAAAAACACTTTGAGTTCCGAATTTTCTCCCTTCCTCCGTCTGCCACTCCCACCCCCCACATTGAGAAGGCAAGCAATTTGATACTGATTATACATATGTAGTTAGGCAAAACATTTCCATATTAGTCATGTTATGGAAGAAAACATAAACCAAAAAAACTTCAAGAAAAATAAAGAATGTAAAAAAAAAAAGTCTGCTTCAATCTGTATTCAGACACCATCAGTTCTTTGTTTGGGGATGGATAGCGTTTTCCTTCATAAGTCCTTCAGAGCTGTCTTGGATGGCTGTATTGCTGAGAATGACTAAGTCATTCACAGCCGATCATCTTACGATATTGCTGTTACTGTGAACATGGTACATTTCACTTTGTATCATGCAAATCTTTCTTGGTTTTTCTGAGTGCATCCTGCTCATCATTTCTTATCACACAAGAGTCCAGCATAATCACATGCCATACCTTGTTCAGCCATTCCCCACCTAATGGGCATCCCTTCAATTTCCAATTCTTTGCCACCAGAAAAGAGCTGCTGTAAGTATTTTCATACATACAGGTCCTTTCCTTTTTGTTTTTTATCTCTTTTGGGATACAGACCTAGTAGTGTTATTATTAGGTCAAAGGGTACACATGGTTTTATAGCCCTTTGGGCATAGTTCCAAATTGTTTTACAGAATGGTTGAATCAGTTCAAAACTCCACCAACAGTGCATTAATGTCTCATTTTTCCCACAACCCCTTCACCATTTGTCATTTTCCCCTTCTGTCTTATTAGCCAATCCGATAGGTATGAGAAAGTACTTCAGAATTGTTTTAATGTGCATTTCTCAAATCAATAGTAAGTTAGAGCATTTTTTCATTTTTTCCTATAGATAGCTTTGACTAGCTAATCTGAAAACTTCATATCTTTTGATCATTTATCAATTGAGGAATTGCTCTTATTTTTTATAAATTTGACTCAGTTCTCTATACATTTGAGAAATGGAGGCTTTATCAGAGAAACTTGCTTCAAAATTTTTTCACAGTTACTATTGCTAACTATATTTCCCTCCATCCTATTTCCCCCCATTTATTCTATTCTCTACTTTCTCCCTGTCCTTCCCTCCTCAAAAGTGTTTTGCTTCCGACTACCCCCCTCCCCCAATCTGCCTTCCCTTCTATCACCACCCCCCTCCAACTTTCTTGTAGGGTAAGATAGATTTCTTACCCAACTGAATGTGTATGTTATTCCCTCTTTGAGCCAATTCTGATGAGAATAAGGTTCATTGACTCCCCCTTGCTTCTCCTTTCCCCCCCCTCCACTGTAAAAGCTTTTTCTTGCCTCTTTTATGCGACATAATTTATTCCATTCTACCTCTCCCTTTCTATTTTTCCCAGTACATTCTTCTCTCACCCCTTAATTTTATTTTTTTAGATATCATCCCTTCACATTCAACTCGCACCTGTGCCCTCTGTCTATATATACTCCTTCTAACTGCTCTAATAATAAGAAAGGTCTTCTGAGTCACAAGTATCACCTTCCCATGTAGGAATGTAAGCAGTTTAACCTCGTTAAGTCCCTGATGATTTCCCTTTCCTGTTTACCTTTTTATGCTTCTCTTGAGTCTTGTATTTGAACGTCAGATTTTCTGTTCCGCTCTGGTCTTTTTATCAAGAATGCTTAAAGGTCCTGAGAGACTTTTAAAAAATTATACCTAGCTAGGGATGACTCCAGGGTCAAGATCTGGAAGAAGGGATACTACTAGCCAAAAGGGAGGAACCACAGGGCCATAGATCTTGGGCTGGAAGGGACCTCAAAGGTTACTCCTTTGTTTTATGGGGGAAGAGACTGAAGTCCAGGGAAGTATGCACAGTCGTAGATCTAGAGCCAGAAGGGACTTCAAAGGCCATCTAGCCTGACCCACTTATTTAACAAAGGAGGAAACTGAGGCACAGAGAAGTTGGGACTTGCCCGAGGTCACACAAACACTATGTCTAAGATGTGGGATTTGAACCCAGGTTCTCTGCCACCTGAGCCATGGCTCCCCGTGATTTACAGGGAAGACCAGGACTTTTGTAATTCTATCCCTTTTCCCTCTGTCACTTCTAACCCGCGGAATGCTCCTTTGATTCCTGGTTAGTGGTCAAAACTCTGAAAGCCTTAAGAAAAGCTATGCGCTGATTTCACAGACCAGAGGGGTTGCAGAGAAGGGAAGAAAAGACTCTTCCTCTCCCAGAAGCAAAGCCAAGAGGAGGGTGGCCACCACCAGAAACCTGCAGGGGGAGCCAGCGAGCCCTATACTGAGCTAGGAGGCCAAAGACACTTGGCAGGATGGGGGCAGAGTAGGAGTTTGTGTTCGAGCTAGGTCTGCAGAAATAAGAGGAGCCAAGAAAAATAGGAGCCTTGGTTATAACGGTTGGTATGGTTACAGTGACTGTGACTGCAGAGAGAGCACAGGACCTGGGTTCAAATCCTACGGTGGCCTTTGTGACTTTGGAGAGGTCCCTTACATTCTCTGGGCTTCAGTTTTTCCACTGGTAAAACGAGGAGACTGACCTCAAAGGTCTCTTCTAGCTCTAAATCAATGGTCCTAGTGGATAAAGCACCAGCCCTGGAGTCAGGAAGACCTGAGTTCAAATCTGGCCTCAGACACTTGACACTTGCTAGCTGTGTGACCCTGGGCAAGTCACTTAACCCTAATTGCCTAGGCAAAAAAAAAAAAAAGCCTGATGGTCCTGAGAAAAGCAGAGCTTCGTGATTCTTACCTGATTTCTCTTTTCTCCATCAAAGAGAATAAGCTTCTCTTTGGTAGAGAAAGGAAAAGGGAATTGAAGTCCATAAGAAATTTGGAGATTCTATGAGAACCCTGAGCTGCCCTTGCTGAATCCAAGTCATCTGGGCCAGGTGGGTGGGCAATATGAAAAACAAAAAGGAAGGAGGAGGGAGGAGGGAGAGAAGGAAGGAGAAGGAAGAAGGAGGAGGAGGGAGGAGGAGGAGGAGAAGCAGTGATTGCCAAGAACCAGCAGGGCTTTCTCCAGGACAGCTTAGGCAAAAAACACCTTCTTGTTTTTCACAAGGTTACTAAACAGGTAAGTCAGAGGATTGCTGTAGACATCAGAGACAACTGTAGCTATGGATTGCATGGAGGCATTGACTGACATCTCTTACGCTATTCTTGGGGATGAGGTAGGGAAGTGTGGGATACATGAGAGTCTAATCGTGCTAGGTAGATTCAGAATTGTTGGAATCCCCACAGAGTCGTCACTAATGCTTCCTGGTCACCTGGAAGATGAGGAAATTGAAGCACAGGTAAAGGGGCTTGTCCAGGGTCACACACCTAGTCAGTGACTGAGGCTGGATTTGAACTCAGATCATCCTGACTCCAAGCCCAATGTCCAATTCACTTTGCCTATGAATATAATGACATACCATTGTGCAACAAGAAGTGAAAAATGGGGAATTCAAAGAAACATGACCTCATGCAGAATCAAGTAAATGCAATGCAATGATAAACATATATAGTAAGTACCACAACGTTAATTAAAACATCACCAGAATGAAGTCAAACTCTGAGTGACTGAAATGATCATGAAAAACAAGGGGCAGAGATAGCGCCAATCCCACCACTAACACATAGTGGCTGTGTGATCTTGAATAAGTCACCTAACATTCAAATCTCCTGACAACTTTCTAACCTGCAGAGGACATGCCTATCTCTACAGGGAGAGGAAGTTTTCTCCTGGGAGAGTTCCCTGCATCAGTGAAGTCATAGGCCTGGTTCCTACATCAATAAGGATAAGTATTTATATAGATATAGATATGTATGTATGTATGTGTTACGTATGTATAATATTTATCTATGGTACATATAATATATACAGATATGTGTGTGCATGCGTGTGTGTATAGACACATACACACGTGTGCACACACACACACACACACACACATATTTAATCAGCTGTTGGCCTTGGGAGAGTCCCAGAGTCCAAATAACATTAGGGTATAATTGTCCATAAAACACAAAACAAGGGGGTGCTCAGAGAAGGCCCCCAGAAGCCTTACCTGTAATTCTTCCGAGTTTCCCATCATACATCTGTCCAACAAATCCAGCTATATGGGCCCCCAAGCTGACTCCAATCATGTAAATGTTGTCAAGAGATGCTCCGCTGACCTGTGATTCCAAGAGGGAGTGGCCATCAGTCGGGCAAATAGTAGCAACAAGGAAGATTTGGCAAGACTTCCTAGCTGCCCACTCCCCACTTTTCCCCAGATCTTAATCCTTAATTTCTCCATGGCTCTGTTAGAGAAAACAAGCATAGAGCTCTTTTAAACATGCCTAGGCAGAGCAAAATCTTCCATGCTGGAAAAAAAAATTGCACCCACACTGATAGGTTGGCATTTGCACCTATATTTATCTCATTAGAGCAATCCAATCCAATAAGCAATTAAGCACCTACTATATACAAGGCCTAGCACATGTGGCCTTCTAGGTCCTTGGGTGCAGCCTTTTGACCGAGTCCAAGTTTTACAGAACAAATCCTTTCATTAAGGGGATTTGTTCTGTGAAGTTTGGATTCCGTCAGGTTCCCCATCGTGGGGAGGCAGCTGGGGGGGATAGTGGAGAGGGTGCTGGACTTGAGCTCAGAAGACCTTCTCTAGCTGTGTGACCCTGGACACATCACTTAACCCTTCTCAGCTTCAACTTCTTCATCTATAAAATGGGACTAATCATAGCCCAAACCTTGTGGGGTTGTTGTGAGGCTCTAATGATATGTATTGTTGTTGTTTTTGAAGAGGACCAGTGACATCACAGGTGATGGCTTGACTTGCTCGTGAATTGGATTTAAGTGAGGCAGAGTCACACTAAGTCATCAGCCTCACTATCCTCCAGAGTAATCGGTGACAAGACAAAAGTCAGGATGACCGGCGATGGCCCAGGATGCCGTGGACAGCCTTGGTGTCTTTGCCATCTAACCAAGCTGTAAGCATTGAGCCTCCGCCTTCATGGCCATTGGAACAAATTGTTCTCATCTGCGCATTCCGCCTGGGGGGACATCATCACATGCTTGAGGTGGGCACCCCCTAACTCACTGATGGGTTTGAGGCCTGCCGGTTACCCTCAGCCCAGTTTAGCCATCTGCCAAGACATGTATATAAAGTACTTGGCAAACCCTGAAGTGCTACAGATGTGGGCTATTATTACCGTAATATAATTATAGTTATTATATAATTATTGTATTATAAAATAATAATTAAAAAACCCAACTTGGCGATTCTGAACACCCTTAGCCCTTTGTCCTGCCACTGCAGAAGTAGGAGGCGCTCATTTCCCTTTGTTTCGTGGGCTAATGATTAGCCTTTTAATAAAAGGATTTGTTCTGTAAAGTTTGGATTCGAATCGAAAGGCTGCACTTAAGGACCTAGAAGGCCACATGTGGCCTCAAGGCCGCAGGTTCCCGCCCCTGCACTAACCAGTCACCAAAGAGATGGATGATCCGGAAGAAGAAGAAGAGTGGCTTACAGACAGAGAGCGTGAGGGGGTAACGAGGTGCAGCCCCCCTCCCCCTGGGGAGCCCTCTAGTTGTCAGGAGAAGCCAAGTGGGGCTCCCAGCACACGGGGTGGCCTCCCTGTGGTGAACTTATGGGATGACATGGGTAAGATTGCCCCACCCCTTGGCAAGATGGATGGGCAAAGAGGGCTTACAATAATCACGACAATGGCAGGCGTTCACACCACATTTAAGGTTTGCAAAGCACTCCACACAGCCCTTAGAGGTAGGTGCTCTTGCTAACCCTATTTTACAGATTAGGACACCGAGACAGGATATTAAGTGACTTGTCCGGGGTCACATAGCTAGAATCTGAGGCTGGATTTGAACTCGGGTCTTCCTGAGCCCAGGCCCAGCACTCTGTCCCCTGCACCTCATAACTGCCTCCAGCAGCATCCAGTGCTGCTGAAAGGCCAGTAATTACAGTTAACGCTTACATATCCACCATGAGTTCACAAAGCCCTTGGCAAAAGAAAGATGAGCTCACTAGATCCTCACAGCACCCAGGAAGGCGGGCGCCGCTCTATAAATGAAGAAGCAGAGGCAAACAGAGGCTGAGTGACTTGCCAGGGTCACACGGCTAGTCAGTGTCTGGGGCAGGATTTGAACTCAGGACTTCCCTGTTCCAAGTGCAGCTCTCTGTCTCTAGGACACCAGGCTGTGTCAATGCAAACAGCATTCACATCCATGAGATTACTGTCCCATCCTGTATCTGACCATGTGCTAGAGGTTCAAAGGGAAAACAAAGTCTCTGGCCTGGAGTAATTACTAGGAGCAAACAACTTCAGAGATCAGAAGGTTTCTGTAGGAAGGGACTCATAAGCTGAGCCTCAAAGGATTCCATGAGGAAGGGGTGAGAAGGGAAGGCACCCCAGGCACGGGGCACAGGCCAGGCAAAGGTGCAGAGATGGGAGAGGAGCGGCAGGTCAGCCAGTCGAGAATACTGGGCATGGCGAGGATGGGACCAGATCTCCAGCCCCGCAAAGGCGGCGGGGATTCCATTGATCTAAGAGGCCACAGAAAGTCTTTCTTGAACAGGAGAATGACGTGCTCTAGGAAGGATATTGTGACGCTGTATGGAGCGCGGACTGGAAGCCAGGAGACCAATCAGGAAAGTGTTGGGATAAGGGAAAGGCCAAGGGGTCAACCACAGAGGGCACAGGGGAGTGGGACACTGGCCGTTAGGGTGCTGAGGAGGGAGGAGGGATGGGTTAGAGTGACATCTTTGCACCTTGAGGCAGCTAGGGGGCGCCATAGTGCCCAGAGCACTGGGCCTGGAGTCAGGAAGACTCCTCTCCCTGAGTTCATACCTGGTCTCAGATACTTACTAGCTGCGTGACCCTGGGCAAGTCACTTCACCCTGTTTGCCTCAGTTGCCTCATCTGTAAAAGGAGATGGAGAAAAGGGATGGAGAGCTACTTTTATTTTTTAACTAATATTTTGTATTGGTATTTTTAGCTTTCCTTTTTTTGGCAATTGGGGTTAAGTGACTTGCCCAGGGTCACACAGCTAGTAAGTATCAACTGTTTGGTCTGAGGCCGCATTTGAACTCAGGTCCTCCTGACTTCAGGGCCGGTGCTCTATCCACTGCATCACCTAGCTGCCCCTATTTTTTTATTTTTATTTTTTACCAATGAAACCCCAACCAGGTGGGGTTATTTTGTTTGGTTTTTTTACCAATTTTTTTTTTACCAGTATTTTTACCTTTGAAACCCCAACCGGGGTCATGGGTGGACATGACTGAAAAACAGCTTACCAACAAATTTGCCCCTCACTGCACGGGGAAGGAAAGGGAGGAGGGAAGTGGGAATGAAGAGCCTTCCTGCATTCTCCCCCTGTCCTCAAAGACACACTTGGACACCATGCCCCTCCTACGTTCTTCAAACATCACCCAGCTCAAATTCTTACTTGTGCCTACAGCTCAGCTCACCCCTTACAGAATTATGAGCTCCCCAAAAACAGAAGCTGTGTCATTGTACCATAAATTGCACACTCTAAAGAAGGGGCGTTATCAGGAGGACCTGAGTTCAAATCCAGCCTCAGATACCTACTAGCTGCGTGACCCCGGGCAAGTCACTTGACCCTGATTTCCTCCAAAAAAAAAAAAGGCACTTTGTACATTTTTGTACCGAGGGCTAGGTTTTCTAGTGACTTTTTCACTCCCGTGAACAGCCGTCTTACCAGCATCTGGTCGATCGTTTCCTTTAAGATTTCGGCCACCCGCCAGGTGTGAGCGGAGGCAACGCTGTACACCACATTTGTGGCTCCTCGGTTCCAGTCGACCACAATGACGTTGATGTCTTCGACTCGGATCAGGCCCTCCACCAGCTCGGACAGCCAGACCGGTTGGGAGCCTGTCGGCCTGTAGCCATGGATGATAAAAGCGGTTTTCTTGGTCGCGTTGAAGCTCCCAGGAAAGGGAGATTCGAGGATCTCGGCGCAGGTGAAGTTGTCCGTGTACAGCAGCAGCCTCACTTTGAGGCTCGTGCCTGTGATCGCGCTGTGAATGCTGAGCTTGGTGAAGGTGTGGCATTCTCGAGGAGCCGTGTCTGAAAGTCAGAAGAAAAGGAGGGGAAATGGGACCAGCTCTGCCCCAGGGTGTTGTGGCTGGCCCCGCCTCAGAGCTAAGAAGGGACCTCGTAGGTCATGTCTACCAGAGCTTTTATAAAGAAAGTATTTGAGGAGCAGCTGGGTGGCACAGTAGATAAAGCTCTGGCCTTGGAGTCAGGAGGACCTGAGTTCAAATCTGGCCTCAGACACTCGACACTTGCTAGCTGTGTGACCTTGGGCAAGTCATTTAAACCCAATTGCCTGACCAAAAAAAAAGTATTTGGCCGACTTAAAGTACACTGTAAGTAAAAGTTATTATTTCTCTGAAAGACAGTCCTTTTGCCTCGACCATTTTTTATATAGCTGTGTTTTGAATTGGGGGTGGCTAGGTGGCACAGTAGATAAAATACCAGGCCTAGAGAGTCACAGAAGAGCTGAGTTCAAATCCAGCCTCAGATACTTACTAGCTGTATGACCCTGGGCAAGTCACTTCACCCTGTTTGCCTCACTTTACTCATCTGTACAACGAACTGGAGGAGGAAATGGCAAAGCACTCCAGTGTCTTGGCCAAAAAAAAGAAAATTGGGTCACAAAGAGACCGAAAAAAGACTGAACAACAGCACAGGATAAGAGTATGAGGGAATGATAGGGGCAAATGAGTTTTGTTCTTTTTTGACTTTGTCTTTGTTCTAGAATGAAGGGTTCCTGGGCATGTTTATAGGCTACAGAGAAAGAGCCGGTAAACTGGAGAAATCAAAGATCAGAGAAAAGAGATGGATGATTGGGGTGAAGTTAGCTGGAGATGCCAGGTCCCTCTGGTCCCCACGACACCTTTCCTACTGTCCTGTGCCCCTTTCAGTGACTGAGATTTCCACGAGGAGGAGTACTGATCTCATTGCCCTCATTTGTCTCCAAACGAGGCCACATTTCACAAATAGTGCATTTTTCCTGGTGATGCGCCATCACTCCATGAACCGACCTCCTTCATCCCAAGAGCATTCCTTTCTTGGGTAGACAGTTGACAGCAGAGACTGGATAATTGATCCACAACCACCCAAGAAGTCAATGTCAACATGAGACAGAAACCCAGCTAGCCATAAGCCTGAGCTGTTAGTCAAATCCTCCACACTACTCTGAAGATTAATAAGAAGCATTGACTGAGAGAGGTGGCAGGTGGAGTCAGGAAGACCCAGCTGAGCTAGTCCTGCCCCCGAAATGAATGAACGAATGAAAAAGCATTTATTAAGTACCTACTGTTTGCCAGGTCCTGTGCTTAGCACTGCAACCAGAAATACAGAGCTGAAACTGCCCTGCCTTTGAGCTTACATTCTGGGGGTGGGAGGGCAGTATAACACATATAGAGAGTAGTGGGGAGTTGTGGTCTGAGGAGTCACAAGGATAGTGAATGGAACAAAACGTGTCAATGCCTGATATTTACCTTATGTAGCAAAAAGAGCCCCTGAAGTCTCGTGGAGAGTTTGCAAGGCACTTTTCATGATGCTTTTCCTACGTCATTCAATTGGAACCTCACAACAACCCCATGAGTTCATTTCTGAAGGGATTTTATTATGCCATTTTTCCATATGAGGAAACTGAGGCTCAGAGATGCTAAATTTGTCCTTAGCTCTGGAGCTTGGAAGTGTCAGAGGCAGGACCTGATCTCCCATCTTCCTGACTACAAGCCCAGCGCTCTGGCTGGTATGCCAAGTTACCTCCCCCAAATAGCTGCGTGACTGTGGGCAAGTCACCTAAACTCTAAGCGTCCCGGAAAGAATCTGTATCTGGTTCCCTACGCTGATGAAATCCTGGGTGATTCCTGAAGAGCAAGAGATAATATAGTGCTGTGAGTCTGAGAGAGAAGAGAGAAGGTTGAGAAGGAGGTGTCTGTCAACGGGCAGTGTGGCACAATGGAAAGAGCGCTGGGTTTGGAATCAGAGGATCTGGGTTCAAATCCTGCCTTTGATAATTACCACCTTCAGGTCCTTGGGCATATCACTTAACCTCACTCTGGGCCTCAGTTTCATTTTCTGTAAAATGAAAGGGTTGAACTAAAGTACCTCTGGGGTCCTTTCCAGCTCAAAATCTTTGATCCTTTGACCACTCTGGGCCTCAGTTTCTTCATCTGTAAAATGAGGTGACTGACTAGAAGATAACTGAGGTTCCTTCTAGTTCAATGATCCTAATGTCTGATGCTAGAGCAAATTTAAGTAAGACAAGTGCTGAGAAGACACTATGGGCTTGTTCAGTTCAGGCTGCGATGGCTCTGTTTATGTTCTCTTTCTCATCCTATTAATCTACATAGTTTACATTTGTTTATTTTTTAAATTATGTAACTGTTTTCTTTATACTGTTGGTTATGTCAGCATATACTGGGTTCAACAGTTTCAGATAATTGCCTTATTTCCTCTCCATTTGTGTAAATTCTCCTTTTCTATTTTTTTTAATTTTGGATATTTAGTTTTCCTCTCTTTCCTCTGTCAAATTAGCTAATTTTTAAATTTACTTTGTCTTTTTAAAAACAGGTCACTTTTATTTATCATTTCAATACGGTTTCTTATTTTCAATTTTATCTTTTGTTTTTAAAAAAGTTCCATGTTTGTGTTTAGTTGGGTTTTTTTTTAACCCTTTTAAAACGTCTTCTCTACTTCTGCTCCTGTTCCTGAGTAGCAGGACCCTTGGAACAAATCACAGAAACCTCACTCCCTGGCCCACAATAAACTCATTCTAGCAGGCAGTATATTAGAGCTTTTAGAACCTTGCCCAGAGACAGCTTTCTCTTTCTTGGCAGGAAAGATTGGAAATACACAGACTGCAGTGTTTATTTTTTATTGAGTACCCAAGATTGACTATATCTTTGCTGCCTCAATTCAACTAATTACACAAGGACCTAGGGCCTTCTAATTAGGTGACCTGCAATATGCCTAGTACTAGGGGAGATACAAAAGAATCACAGTCTCGAAGATGGAAGGGAGCTCAGCTCCCAAGAGTTCAATGACAACCTCTACCTAAATACCTAGCCCTAGTCTCTCTCCTGAGTGTCCGTTCTGAATTACCAGTTGCCTAATAGACACTTCCAGCTGACTGTCCGATGGACATATTAATCTTAACATGTCCAAACCAGAATGCCTTATCTTTTCCTCCAGACCTACTCTTCTTCCAAACTTCTGAGTTTCTGTTATGGGTACCACCAACCTTCTCGTCATACTAGTTCACAACCTGGTCTTCCTGTTCTTCCTCACATATGACGTTACAACCCTCTCCCATCTCTGGTCCCCGCAGGCTGGAATGCACTCTCTACCTCTGTCTCTTTGAAACCCTAATGTCCTTCAAAGCCCTTCTCAAATCTGAACACCTATTCTGACCCAATGCACAAAGGATGAAACATAAATGCTTGCTGAATTGAAATTGAGTTGTGAAAAGAACAAAGAATAAATGTGTATTGGGTTGAATAGAATGCAATGGAATTGTGGGAAGAATGAGGGAGAAATGTGTGTAGAATTGCAGCTAGAATGCATAATAAATGTATTGATCGGATCGCAGACGTTTTATGTCCGCAGACAAACAGACTGCAGCAGAAAGCACCTAGTTCTTTGCTGGTCTACAGCATATCCTTGTATCGCTAAAATGGTCGCCCACTCGGTCTTCAGGGTGTACAGCCTCTTTACTTGGTAGTCTAAAACTTGCTAAGTTACAAGCAGAGTTGTTGTTCTGGTCATATTAAAGTACGGCACGGGTGCGTAAAACGTGTCGAGCAGGTTTTCTAAAGCTGTGCCTTTTCCACCGGAGTTTATTTGACACTTGCTGAGCTAATCTTTTCATTCAGCCTCTTTGCCCTAGTTCTTTATAGGCGCTACCTGCTGATCACAGGAAAAGTTAAGGTTAAGACCCCCATTCTAAACCAGTCTAGTGGCATCTCCAGCTCTGGGTCTGCCTTCTTTGTTCACGTTCGACATTTATGGAGCACCAGGAAGCTGCAGGCAGTGCAGAATACACACATACACATGTATGTATCAGTCATAAACATTTATCAAGGCCAGGCACTGTGCTAAGTGCTAGGGAGACAAAAAGAGGCAAAAGACAGTCCCTGCCCTCAGTGAGCTTACAATCACGCAGCACGATCCGTGTTTTTCATACAAGCTGACAAATCAGGAAAACACCTCACAGACAGACTACTCCCTTTGATGACTGGGCACAAGATCGAACCTTTAGGTAGTATCTGTGTTGCTTGTGGCTTGCCGTGTCTAATGTGGCAAAACTGTTAAGAAAATCCTGGGGACTGGGGAAAGCCCAAGCTAGAGACTGGCTTGTATTGCATGAGGAGACTCACCCACCCCACCCACCCCACCCCATGTAATAGTGATTTCTACAAACTGCTTTGCCCTACACCAACCTGGAGAAATGGGTTATCTTAGTAGGGTCACCCCTATTTTACAGGTGAGGAAATTGAGGCTCAGAGGATTAAGATGTCAGATAGCTAATTAGTACTCAGAGCCAGGTCTTCTGTCTCCCAAGCCATATGTTTTTTTCACCATACCACAAAACCACTCACGTCTTGAAATTTTTTTGAATAGGGAAGAGACCATAGTGGGAGAATGTACTGCCTAAATCATAGGCTCGTGGGACTTGGAATCCTAGGACCCCAAATTCAGAGCTGGAAGGGACCCTTGGGACCATCTAATCCAACCACTACATTTTACAAAAAAGGAAACTGTGGCCCAAAAAGAAGAGGTGACAGAATCATCAGATCACCAAGCTAGGAATCCTTAGGGACCACCTGGACCCACTGCCTCATTTACAAACGAGGAAACAGACCTAGAGGGGACTTGCCCAATGTCACACAGGTAACAAGTGACAGAGTCAGGATCTTACCAGAGAGTTCTGAGAATAGATTCTAGGGAAGAAGGGGAAAAGAAGAGAGAAGAAAAAAGAGAGGTAGAAGGAAAAAAAATCGGGAGGGTTTTACTGTTCTTTGATTCTATGAAAGACAGAACGAGAGCAA